CATATCAACAATATGGAAGAACACACTGTATCTATGTCTTCAATCTTACAAATAGTGGTGAGGATAATGGTGGCACTTTTGATCTAATAAAAAATGGATCAACAGCTGTAAATATTAAATTTAGTCAGGCTGTTCCAGAAGGAGGAGTTATGCTTATAGTAATGGGAGAAACAGATGCATTAATAATGTTAGACAAAAATCGATCAATAACAAGTGATACTACTATATAAACTCAAAATTGTTCATTTTCTTTTCATTTTAAATAAAAATGTTTTTTAAAAATATTGCAAAAGTTTTATTATTAATTCGAGTTTTTACTCCTTGTGTTACTACTCTAAGTACTGACGGGAGTGTAGATGTTCAAAACCTTCCAGAATATAGGGAATATTTACAAAGAATGGGATATCCCCCAAAGAGGAACATTACTGTTCCAAGTATATCTGCTCCTGCTGCTCCTCAACTCTTTGGTAGCCTCCCTCAAATTCAACTATGTAAGGAATCACCGCAAGATATATATGGACATATATTTTGTTGGGGAATGATTTGTATGTACATTCTTCTTATTATAAGTCTTGTTATTTATCAATTTCGATCAATACATTGGGTCAGATTAAATATTTTGCGAAGAAATGTACAGCAGCCAGATAATTCAAATTTTGAGAGCAAATCAAAAGACGAACAAAATCTTCGAGGGGTGCTTTCCTTGTGACTTGCTCCCTTCTCCTAATAGTTTGAAAAGCCCTACAGCTCTTATTGTTAACTTGGACTCTCATGATAAAGATGGTTCACATTGGATTACACTTTATTTAGAAAAAGATCAAATATTTTATTTTGATAGTCTTGCACTACCAATAAGTTCTTGTATTGTTAATGCATTTTTAAAAAATTTTAAAAATGTAAAAAGAAATTCTAACCCATACCAATCACCCCTCTCAAAGACTTGTGCTCACCACTGTATTTCCTTAATATATTTTCTATCTCGAGGATACTCCCTTCCCAAATATTTAACATTACTAGAGTCAATCAATAATACGGATTTATTTGCATCTAAAATTGTAAATAAAATGATAAACAATTAATTATTATGTATTTCAAGATAACTTTTTGTAATTTTAAAACAATCTGGACAAAGATAAAATTCATATATGAAAAAATCTCCTGATCGAGATGTAAAAATTTCAGTTTGATGTTGATCCAGAGTAAATTTCAAACAATCATGGCACCACTTTCCAGCTCTGAAGTAGTTTATGAGTACACTTAATCTTGCTCCCAGGTCAAGTTGAGCGCCATCTTTGATGGCCTGACTCAAAGCATTCATATATTTCCTCTTGTGAAATTCTCTATATTCACAAGTTCCGTGCATAAATTTAATAAATTCTTCTTCTGGAGAGGAGCTCATTTTTGTAAAATTTTAAAAATGATTAGAGAAAATGTTTGGAAATCAAAAAATTTGACCTATTTATCAAAATGTAAACTTTCAAAATATCAAAAATGGGGGTATAAAAGGAGAGGAATTTTTGAGAAAAAATCATTCCTTAAAAAATGAATTCTCATTCCTCATCTAATAAAGTAATTGACGAGTGCACTAGAATTTTGGGGTGCACTACAAAATCTTTAAGAGATCACCTCAATCATCCTGATAACCATGTGCTAATTCTAAAGGAGCTCCTTGGTCGTAAGGTTCAAACGACCTATGAAGATAAAAATGGATTTAAAAAAATATTCATTATAGATGGCCTTACTCGACATGGAGGAAATTCTCTTGTAGCTTATGGGAGGTTACCTTTTCCATATAATGTGAGTGTTGCTGCACACTTTTATGCTCGTCACCGGATTCGCCTACGTTACCCATACCTACAATGCATTATCGAGCGTATTCCATTTGGAGGAGAGGATCGATTTTATCCTTTGGAATTGCTTGAATTTGTGGAAGAAAAGGAGGATCGATTGGCAAGAAAATGGTTGAATCAGCTCTCCAATGATATATCAAACAAACTAACGATATCAGAGGAGCCAAAGAGTCCAGTAATTATTTTGAAAAAAGATCAAGACTTAGAAATTCCTAATTTTGAACTTTGGTAATTAATTATTTGTAATCAATTTATTTTTGGATAAAATTTTTATATAGTCAAAAATGCACGCACCCTATAAAAATACACGCGCATACGAAAAACACGCACGCATACCTAAAATGTATGAATTTTAATAAAATATAAAATTGTATTTTCTTTTGTTAAAATATGCACATTTCTCCCTAAAATCAACAATTTCAAACTCTAAACTATGCTTTTTTGCAATTTCTTTTGCTTAATTGTGCACTTTTCTCCCTAAAATCACCTATTTCAAACTCTAAATTATGCTCACTAGTTTCTTAATTGTGCACTTTTACCCCTAAAATCACCTACTTTTAAAAATTAAATTTGCACAAGTTGTTTATAAAAAATTTATTTTAAATTAAAACAATAAAAATTATAATTGAAAAAATATGAGGGAGGGGTAAGAGACCGGCTTCGCCATTCGACTCCTTCATCTAACTCGACCAGGGATGTTAGAATGTCCGCTACCACTGTATCTCAATGAGAGGTATGCCTCACAACATGTGAATGGCACATGTTGATAATCATCGTAAACAATGAGAGGACGACCTCACAACATGTGAATGGCACATCTTGATATTCATTGAACAATGGTTGGTATAGAGAAGATAAGGAGTACCCCTGACTACTTTCCGGCTCCAAGAAATATTGTGACAAAATTGACAAAAAAATTATGGGGGTGAAATACGTGGATGGCGATTATTTATAAATCCATAATTGAGAATAGAAAAGTCAGAAGGGCGGATAATTCCCTTACTGACTACAGGTTTATACAATTTATGTTGAGGCTGTGAAATGACACGACCATCTTTAATTGATGGTCGCAAAAAATTGGGGTAAATTATATCGATTGGTTTAACTTCTCCTGTTCTAGCATAATTAATTACCTGCTCCTTGAATGTGTTGTATTGTAATCCTTGATTGTTGAGCACATCGTAGTTGAGGGTCATTCCTCTAACTTTCAGAACATATTCAGCTTCTTTTTGTCCTTTGCGTTGAAGTTTGAGACCATACTGTTTCGCTCCTCCACAGCAATATTCCAGTATATTGTGAGAGGAGTACTCATCGGTAAACTCTCCCAGATGGGGCCCCAGAGGAAGAGGACATAAGTTGGTCGGATGAGCAAAAATTAGGGAGTCGGTGTCTGTGTAGAGCAAAGAGCACCCAGGAGAACGGACAACTTTTTGCATTGCTCGGAGCAAATGAATTCGCGCTGCTGAAGTTGTCCATAAGGAGATGACAACATTGGAGCAATTGTGCTCCTCAATCCAATCTTTCTTTTTGATGTAAGAGATGAGCAAAATATCTGGTGTGAGCTCATCTAAGCCAGTGATTTCAATTGATTTGTCGTTGTAGTATTTGTGTAGCTCTGCTGGATTGTCTGTAATAGCACATTGAGAGAGACCAAAATTTCTCAAAGAGAATCTCCCCCATAAGTTGTTGAGCATCAACTTCGCTTGTGTGCGTCTTCCTTTATTTGGTCCCATCTTGCTCCTCTCTATATTGATCCCAAACTTCTCTTTGCACTCATTGATGAATCTCTCCTCCTCCTCATAATTCCCCTTCATAGAGCTATCAAATCCTGAAGAATGAATTTTTGCTGCCATAAATTCACTAATGTATGGAGCAAATAATTTGTCGTCTGAACTGTCATACTCCAAAACTCTGAACACCTTGGTGATGATGTATCCTTCCTCTAGAGCCGCGTTTAATTCAAGTGTTGTGCATGTACATACCCATCCACGTTGCTGGTCTGAGTGTGGGCAGGAGTAATTTTCATTTACACCTCCTTCAGGGTGCTCCCTTGCACATTGGGAGCAGAGAGGAAAGAGCAACCTCTCATCATCTTCTCCTACTTTCATTGGGAGCACAGGAATATCAATGCTCCTCGGAGGGATGACAAAGACTTTCAGAATAGCCAATCCAAAATTGTTATCCTCCGGCTTGCTCCAGTGAACATCCTTGTTGAGAATGTGGACCTTTGGGTGCCCCACTGGATATTTGGTAGTTACATTAATAAATGGGTACAAGGAGGTGACGTCATAATATGATATTTTCTCTCCTTCTTTTGGTGAGTAGAAAAGTTGAAGTGGGCCAGTACGTCCTCCAAAGAAGCATGCACGTAGATCAATTGGGCCATCATCCAAATACTTTTTGAAGGAGCTCCTCATCTCCCTGTCTTTTTCCAACATGCTCCTAATTTCACACTCCCAAAAGACTTGCACTTTTACTCCTTGACTTTTGATGTATTCCATCCTCTTTGCATCTTTCTCCCGTTGTTTACCGGCTGAAATTCCATTAGGGAGAATAGTGTTGTCTTCCGGGTAGCATCTCTCACACCCATGCCAAACACAACCATTAATCTCTATCCCTAATTGCTCCTCCTCAATCCATCCATCCAACTTGAAGTTGCCAACCTTCTTCTCTCCTCCATCTGAATGAGCAGTTTGAATTTTTACTCCATGCTCCTCCTCATACCATTTCATAAATTTCAGAGCAAGTTTGCTCTGATTATCCACATTATCGTAGCCTTTCTCCGGAACAAGAGCCAAATGGTTTTCTTTCAGATGATTAGTTCTGAAATGGTTCATACACGCGGATGCAATTGTCATTGACTCCTTGAGCACGTCAATACCATTGTGTGCCTTAGTTGATGCAGCTCTTTGACAAGGAGCTCTCTTTGTAACATCCATAAATTCTCGTCTGAACGTTATAAGAGCTGCTAGTAGAATTTCCACATCATTTGTACAGTATGCTGCCAACTCCTCATCCAAGTAAAAAGGGAGCTCCTTGTGCTGATCATACCATCGATCAAATTCTTTTCTCTTCTCTGGCATCATCCCATCTGCGAAGTAGTCGGAGGGGACGGGAAACGCATTTTTTCCATAATTCTTAGGCTGATTAATGAGGTGGGGGAAGAAAGGTTTGTCCTCAACCTCAAGAGCAAAAGCCGGGACAAGAGATGCCAAAGACATTGGCATCAGGTTAAAACTGTCCCTGAAGATGAGCATACTCTTTTTTCCAATTTTCACTTTCATCTCATACATTTTATTTCCTCTCTTCAACATTTCAGGAGTAAAACCCATAAGAAAGAGCTCCCGGAACACTATTACCATATCAAACCTCCCTCCAAAATGTGAAAAGGCGATGGTGTCGTAGTCTGTTGTTAATTCGATTATCCATTTGACAAAGGAGATGATTGGATCGTTGGAGACTTTCTGTAGATCCACATGTGTTTTGGAAAATGGGCGCTCTGAAAAAGTTACAACTCTGTTGCTCCCACAAACTTTGCACTGCTCCTGCTCCTCCTCAATACATTTGGGGCAAGTAACTCTTGCTGCGATAAAGTTTGCTTGATGATTTCTCTTGTTGTTTCCATCTGAGACATGTTGCATGGTCTCCAGATCAAAAGCTACAAATCGGTAAGGTTTTTGCTCCTTGGGCTCCAAAGGTTTAATAAAGCATCCGCGCTTTGGGTCGTGGTATCCGGAGCAATTTGAACAATACTTTTCATTGCAAACATGGCCGCTTCTCCCACCTCTTGTGTTGACATAAGTATCCCAGATCACTCCACACTTCTCACAACGTTTGGACTGTTGACAAAATTTCGAATTCAAGTGATGATTGAAGCAATTTTCGTTGTTAAAGCTCTTGGAGCACCCGTTACATTTTGTGGAAAAATTGTTCCTAGGAGGGCATGGGAAGAGTGGCCCTATTCTGGAGCAATTCAAACATTTTGCTCGGCATGTGGAAGAGTGTACTTTAGGATGAGAGTAAACTGTTTCACATTCCAAACAATAAGGCTGACTAAAGAGCCCACCGGTGCAAGTAACTCCATTGAAATGGGAGCCATCAAAGTAGAGGAGCAGTGGTGAATTATAATTATCGGGACCATATTTAAAACATGGTTTGTAGTGCCCCAAACAATCAAAAATAAAAACTTTAAAACAAAACTGGCCTGCGTAAATCTCATTCCAAAAGTCGACGACGGGAGGAACCCATTCCTCAGCATTGTACTCCTTTTGACCAAGAGGAGCTCCAACATGCTCCATCAGCTCCTGTGTCTCCTGTACAAATCGTCCTCTTGATCCAAAACGACTATGAATGTAGTCGTAAAATTGAGAACGAGACATGTTGCCAATAAGCCGCACAAGTGTTGCTAATAAAGAATAAAATAAGCAATAACCATCATTGTTGTTGTTGATTTTGATGATATTCTTCTCTTTGATCTGATGGTGGACAGGAGCAAGTTTTCGAGGAGCTCCGCCAGTAATGTTGCTCTCATTATTCAAATTTTTCTTGTCGACAACCATTACATTAACTGAAAAGGGTTTTCCCCACAGGGTAACACCCGCCTGCTTCTTACTCTGAGAAACATTATTAAATTGATTAAGCAGGACATTGAAGGTATTTTGTGTTGTGGGCCTAAGTGGAATCCAAATATCAGAATCTAATAACTCACTTGTTACTGTGCAACTCAGCTCCTCTGGTACAAGTCCATTGTTCTTCGCGTTGTTCATAGCCTCATTAAAGCATTGTTGGAATATTCCTGATAATAAAGCCTCAGGGTCGGCTGGAATATTCTGAATAAGGAATTTCGAATAATTTTTGGTGATTTTGAATTTATTGATGTATTTTGTCGTGTTTTCTAGTTGCTCAATATATTGATGTAGAGCAGCTTCTCCTCCTGATTGATTAACAGAGAGGAGGTTATCAATAAAGAACGCTCTTGCGCGTTTTGTTGGAGGAATATAGTCCATTATTGAAAAAGGAGCTTCTATTAGAAAAGAGCTCCTATGAAAAAATAGCAAAAATTTATGGGGAGCAAAGAGAGCTCCTATTGAAAATAAAAAAAATGAGGAGCAAATTAATAAATATTTTAAATTATTTAAACTTTTTGTAAAATGAATACAAATGAGAAAAAATCTTTGTTTTTATACTTAATATTTTGCCAAAACTTTTTATAGGCGGTATCTTCAAAGAGGCGTTAAAAGTTTAATTTGCATAAATTTAAGAAAGAGAAAATAATAATTTTAAAATATAGGCGGCATCTTCAAAGAGATTTTAAAACAAAAATTTGCATAAATTTAAAATATCGGCAACATCAAAGAGAAAACATAAATCATTTTATTTTTCAAATTCAATTTTATATTTGGGTCAAGGTCAATTATCTGAAAACTTGACAAAAAGTATTAAAAACAAAGGCAAAATTTTGGGGGAGCAAAAAAAAGAAATTGGGGGTTGAAAAAGCAAAATTTTATTTTTTTTAAAATATTATCAGCTATCATTTTAACGTGTAATCACTAACAAATCATTATTAAAGATATAAAAACATAATAATCATAGTATGGTAATCACTTGATGTATCAATGCGGGTAATCACTTGCCTCAATAATCACATACCGTATAAGCTAGGTAATCACTTATAGGTTCACATGATACGGGTGCATGTTTACATTGGTGTATCTAGTAAAGTACACGAATCATCACCCTCGACAGTGAAGACATGAAATTACTGATTCTCCACTATTCACTAACCAATTTGATTTAACATAATTTTATTGCCACCCGAATGTTTTACAAATTGCCTAAACCCTCTTTTATTTTATTAACTCTTTCTTTTGGCTGACCACTCTCTTATTACCCCTCCTCGCTTGCGACATTGCCAACTCCCTTTGATCTTTGCCGCGACATGCCCTTTTGTCGGACCCCTCCTCCTCGACGGGTAGTGGATTAGCTTAGTGCCACCCGCGACGTTGATGTTTTAAAATTACTTACCCCTCTTTTGGGTTTTTCATTCCTCCTCACGAACTGCCCACTTCCCTTTGATCTTTACCGATGCACTCTCCCTTTTATTTGACCCCTCCTCCCCCACGACAGTGTCCACTCCCTTTGATCTTTACCGCGCATTACCTCTCCCTTTTGGTTTTTGTCGGACCCCTCCACCACTTGACGGGGATTAGCTTAGTGACAGCCACGACATCCCCCTCCCACTAACTACTAGTGAGTATCTAAATAGTTGTGTTATTGGTAGAGTAAGGCTACCAGCACACTTTTTGAGTAAATAATTATTTATATAATCAGGAGAAGTATTAGATTTTAGTGGCAAGTGAGAAAGAAGTTGGTAAACTTCTACCTCTTCAATATCAATATATTCAATAGTAGAACTATTAAATTTTATAATACTAGAAAAATGAATTTCGGATTCCTTAAAAGTTGAGTAAAAATAATTAGCAAATGAGTTAGCCTTTTGTTCATTATTAGATAAAACCTCTGTATTATTAATTAATGTTGGTATTGTGTTAGTCTTTGATTTAATTTGACTTGAAATATAGTTAAAAATATTTTTTTGAGACTTATTTTTTAGAAGTTTTTTTTCCTTATTTCTAAAAAATTTTTTTTGTTCATAACGAAGTTTTGCTGATGTACTTAAAAACTTTTCATATACTTTTGGATAGTGAATATTTTTCCATAATTGTTCCTTATAACATTGAATTTTTTGGATATGAGGTGGTAGATTTATGGAGGAAATATGTTCTTTTGGAATATGAGATTCAGCTATACTAAGTATTAGCTCGATGAAGCAATTGTATATAGAGTTAATATTATAATTCTGTATATAACTAAATTGAACCTTCCAATCAATATTAGAAAATATAAATTCCATAGCTGAGTAGTTTCCTTTTGAATAGATTGTTTTTAATTTATTACAAGAATTAGAGAATGAAAATGGAAACGAAAGAGAAAAGTATATCTGATTGTGATCTGAAGTAGAAAAGGGAGGACCAGAAAAAATATCAGAAACTATTTCTGGTGTTGATGATAAGATAAGATCGATAGTATTATTTAGTCTTGTGGGGAATTTGATTAGTTGAGTTAATTTTGCATTTTCAATAAATTCTAAAAAATATTTTTCAGAAAGATCTAATTTATTATGTAATTTAAAATTCCAATCTATATTTGCAAAATTAAGATCCCCAGTAATTAAAACAGGATAGTCTATTGATACTAAGTCATAAAGAATGAAAATAAATTCAAGAACATTTTCAGATTTAGTTTTGGGAGGCAAATAGACATTTAAAATCCTGATTTTATTATTATTTGACAATATATCAATCCCTACTATATTTATCTGAGGAATTTTTTTAATTTGTAACTTATTTATTGGAAAAAAAGATTTAGCTAAAATGGCAACACCACCTCCGTTTTTGTTTCTGTCCGTGCGGAATACATTATAGTCAGAACTTGGACAGATTAATGAATCAGGAACTAAATTGGAAAGCCAGGTTTCAGTTATTAAAAGTATATCAAATTTTTTGGTTTGGAGCAAAAAGGTAAATTCAGATAATTTATTTTTTAGTGATCTAGCATTAAATAGAGTACACTGAAACCTGGGGGATCCAATTAAAGAGCTATTATTTTTTTTCAGAGAATTTTTATTTAAATTATTTTTCAAAAGTCAATTTTTTTTATTTTTTCTAAAAATGTGAACCTCCGATCTTAGAATTACTGCTTCTCCATAAACAATCCAGTCAAATTGTGGGTTATCCATTCTCTTTTTTTTGCACTCTTCAATTAGTTCCTTCCGTCGTTGCAATTGCTCTGGTGTCATTGATGCCCGCATATTGATTTGAGGAAAAGATTTTTTGCCAATTGTTTTCCATTTTTTGAGAAGTTCATGCTGAAATTTTCTTGATGGTAAAACAATTTTTAAAAGACGGGCATGACCATTATTGGGTGGGTTAGACTGACGTCCCATACGGTAAAAAAACCTGGGTGCGCACTCAACCCCCACCGAGTCGAGTAAACTTGTTATTGTTTTGGAGTCATCCGCCATTTTTTCTGATGGAAGTTTTTTTGTAGATTCCGTCAAACCAGTCACAACAACACTTCTTTCACGCTCTAACTCCTCTGCTGAAATATTGTTTAATTTTGCTGCCCCTGAAAAATATCCATAAGGTTGTTTTTCTTGTTGTTTTTCTTTAAGTGAATCGATTGATTTACTAAGAAGGTTAAATTGTTCAGTCAGAGTTTTAATAAAGTTTAATAAAATCGGAGTTTGCTCTGTTGTCATAGACGGAATAAAAGTATTGATTGTTGTTAGTGTTGTTTTCACCAAACTGACTTGACAATCAATAAGAAAATTAAGAGAATTTGGATTTTCGTTGTTGTTGCTATTATTGGAGAGAGGCGAAATATTGGCCTCTGTCATGCACTTTTAGGTTTTTTAAAATAAGTTTTGTTATTTAAATTATCTTTTAGCAATTCAAAAATTAATGGTACATAATTGGGAATATCTAGGAAAACAATTAGATGTATCAGAAGGAAATAAGGGTGGGGGAGGAGATGATAATACAAAAAATAAAGACTAAATTATATGAAAAAATATATAGATAGATAGAAAATATAATAATGAGTCTAGTTTTTAGTAGTTTTTAAATAATATTATAAATTCCTAATTTTATAAATGCATAAAATAAATCTCGAAAAACTTTATGAGCAAGACTTAGGACAATTTTCGGCCTAAACAGTAACTACTATAATTTTCGGGGTTTAAATTTTTATAACATTGAGGGGTTGATTGAAAGTAACATATAATTTCTAACTATAAAAATGAAACGATTAAGGTGTGGTGGTTGGCTGAACAAAATATTCCACAGCTAAATCATCAGCACTTCGAATAAATTGAAGTTCTAATTTAACTGGCTGTTTTAACAAATTAGATAAAATTTCTTCAGTAAATCCATAAAGCCAATAAATTTGTTCCATATTTCCTTTTGGTATGAGAAAACCAGTCACATAAACAACATTTCCCCTTCTTTTAGTAATTAACTAGAAAAAAAATTTGTTAAAATAATTTAAATAAATTATTCTATTTACTTCAGTTCCACCAACAGTTAAAGGCAAATAAGTATAGAAAATAGCTCGAACAAATCGTCTAATAATTTCATCTTGAGCTACAGTCAATCCTAGTTGTTGTCTTTAAAAGGAATTAAAAATTTAAATTTAATTTTTTATTTAAAACTTAAAATCATCCAAATTTTGTGTATGCCAAGTCATCCAAGATTTACTAACAGCTATATCAGAAGGTAAACGAGACATGTCGTAAGTCATAATTTGGGGTTTTCCGCGCAAATAACGACAAGCCTAAAAATTAGTGAGAATTACTAAAGAAAGTGTCGTCAACATTTCCTAAAAACTTAAAATTATAGACTGAAATAAATTAAGAATTGACCAAAGAATACTAATGATAAAATTTTTTACAAAATTTAAATTTGGCATTTTCAAAGAAATAAAAATTGTTTAAAAAAATTTAATTAAACCTTATTTTTGTATTTACCAGACATATTTTGAGCCAGAGCAGAACTTATTGAAAATGCCCGGCTACCAATTTCCTTTGAAGATAAATTTAAAATAAAATTATTTAATATTAACATAATTAAATTCTAAAGAAAATATTAAATTATATAAAATTAAAAAAATATTTTTTTAGAAAAAAATCCTTCAAAAAAACAAAAATAGAAACGTCAAAATAATTTTATTTTTAAAAATTCAAAAATGGCAAGGTTATTTCTAAAAAATTCATTTTTAAGTGAAAATCAAAAAAATGAGAGAGTATCGTTGAAAATAATATTTAAAAAGAAAATATAGGTAATAAATTAATTGCTCAAATAATTTAAAGTATTTTTTAAAATAATTTAAAGAGATTCAAAATAAATATATTTCTTAAAAAGACTTTCTTTATTTCCAAATTAATTTAATTTTAATTTGTCATGACGCATATTATTAAAATAACCAATTTTTTCTTTTAAACTCAACAAAATATATCCAAAAACACTGAGAAAGTCTACAAACAACATTGCCTTAAAATAAGAAAATTAAAAAAAATTAATTTTAAATTTTCGAAAAAACTAGTCACACCCAACGGAGATTTCTAGAAATCAGAAAAAAGCTTCTGCTCATTAACTACTTTAACATCTGCCGAACTTTTACTGGAACACCCCGACTATTAAATTCCAAAACCCCCATTCAAAAATATTAAAAATTACCGTATGCCAAATATAATCAGTATCCTTTTGTTGGCGTTTCTCTGTAATCATTTGAGTATCATAAATGACAAAAAGAGCATTTGTCGTTAACACACTCCAAAGAATTGTTGGGTAAATAAAATTTGGAGCAACAAAAAAAGTCAACAAAAAAGAAAATAAAGTTGACAGAAAAGTAGCTAAGAAATTAAAAAATAATAAAAAATTTTGTAAAAAATACCACAAAGATGAAGACATTGAATTGACTCTGAATGAATAACAGACAAAGCAAAGGAAGCATAAACAATCTTTTAAAAATTAAAAAAATAATCTAGAGTTCAAGGGCGTAGCCAGGGGGGCTTCTGGGGCTATAGCCCCCCCTTCATAAATCCCTGGGGATAACTCTAGCCCTTGCTGAGTTAGTCCCCAGGGAACTGGGAGTCGGAAACCCACTCTAGTATAATTTAAATTAATTCAGATTAAAAAAAGAATTTATTTAAAAAATTTTTACTTACCAAAGCTCCAAAAAAGAAATTAAATTCAATATGTCCAGGATATTCAAAACCGAAAAATTCAAAAAATGACCAAAATTTAATTCCAATTAACCAGGAAAGCGTTAAAAGACCATAAAAACGTTTAACTTCCAAATTTTGTTTGTAACTACAAAATCCCAAACCTTTAAAATTAAATTAAAAAAATTTTTAACTAAAAACAAACCAATAAACAAACAAAAAATTAAAAAAGTAACAAATTTGTGTAGAAAAGCATTAAAATTAAAAATTCCTCGAAAGAAAATTCCAAAAAGAGAACATAAAAGGCAAAGAGCAGCTGTTGAATAAACTTTTTGTAAATGTAAACGAATATCTGAAGGACTAAAAAAGAAAATTTAAATTTTTAAAAAAATTAAAAACAAACATTTTATTTGGTAAATTGTCAACAATTCTTCCAAAATTTTCTGATAATTGTTCTGATGCAGATTTTTTTGTCTTAGTTGAATATTCTTGTTCGTAAAATGTATTTGTTGAATTATAAAAAGTATTTTTGTTGTTATTCATTTTTGAAGAGAGATTTCTTGAAAAATAAACTTTAAAAAGAATATTTAAGTAAAAATAAAATAAATATATTGAATATTTGCAACAATTAAATAAAAAAATGTAATGAATTAAATATTTTTTTATTTAGAAAAGAAATTAATAATAAATCAATGTTTAATGATTAAAAAGAAAAAAAGTGTTAAATCAGAAGATTAAATAATTTATTTTGATGCTTCTCGAACTTCACAAGAACCTTGAAAACCAAATGAATCTGGTGGTAATTTTGGATAAATAATATCTTGAACGAAGGGCTGGTCTGTGGATTCGTATTTTTGTAAAGGTAAATCATAAGGCAAAAGTAAACCTAAAAAATATTTAAAAAAACGTTGAACAGAAATAAATTTAAAGAATAACAACAAAAAGCTTTGGAAATTTATTTTCTTTAAAAAAGAAGATAGGTTTGAGAATCTCAAACTTATTATTAAGAGTTATAAAACAAACCCCTTTTTTTAAATATAAAAAATTTTGAAATTTTTACTAACCTTCTGGATGATCTTTTTCACATAAAAGAACACCTAATTCATAAGAACGAATAAACAATTGTTCTCCACATTTTTCCAATTTTCCCCAAGCAGAAGTAGAAAGATTTGCACTACTCATTAAAATCCAATTAACTTTAGAATTTTCATCTAAACCAGCATAACTTTTTACGTGAGGCATTGCTAACGATCTTTAAAAAAATAAAAAAAATTTTTAATCAAAAAAAACCTTCCGTGTTTATCACTTTTCCATTGATGAAAAAAATTTAACAAATAATTTTGTCTTATATGATTTTTGAACAAATATGGAAGGTAAAACCCAGCAGCATACCCTTCTAATGATTGTCTGACATTTTCGACTGTTGGATAAATTAATTTAAGAGAAGAAGCTATAAAATAAAAATAAATTTTTCTAATTTTAATTAAATTACGTGGTAATAAACTATTTGAACCAGAAAGACTACACAAAAATTCATCAGATAACCAAGTTTCTGCTTTAGCTCCGAGTGAACCGATAGAACTGAATTGGCCAATAAATGTCTAAGTGTTAAATTTAATCTTTTACAAATTCTAAATTAAAACTTTTAAAGTTTGTAATTCTTTTGGAGTAAATTTAGAAGACAAAGATTCGCGCAATTTTAAATGGCCAAATTTGCTGTAAGTACCGTTGCTTTTCTGAAATCTGAAATATCGTTTAAATTCTAAAATGGGTAAAAACAAAAATTGTGTACCTCCCAGGAACGGAAGCAATCAAACGATCTTTGCATTTGCTAAAGTCAGCTTGCCCACCAATTATACGCTCTATCCAGTAAGAAACAAGTTTATATGCGTTACCACACCTTTTTGGGTAAGCAACTCTCAAATATTCAACAAGATCATCACGAAAACTGAAAAATATGTTTTTAAGACCAGGAAAAAGTACAAATATAACCTTTGGCCCGTATCTTTTGTTTCAATATCCTCAGCATCTATAGTTATTAACGGTCTTGATTCTTGTGTAAATGGTGCCGCAAAATGATAAAACATTTGTGTTTTAAAGGCCCAATCTTGGGGCAATAAATTCGCAGTGCCCACCACTACATGCAATGAATGTTCACTTTCAAACAAAGAAAGCTTTGTGTGATGAGTCCCGAAAGGGAATGGAAGTACTGCACCAGCAACCTAAATTAGAAAAATAAGGAAGAATTCAAAAAAAATTACTTGAATATTTGGCCAATTTTTACATTCTTTTTCCAATTCCCCAAATTCTGGCTGGCCAACAATAAAAGATATTGGATTGTTTCTTAAACTTCGAGAATATTGCCTAAAAAATGAAAAGAGACTAAAAATAAACAAAAAAAAACAAACTTTATAACCCATCCAGGATCAATACAAAAACTAAAATGAATCGAAGCAATTGGGCGAATTTGACGGATTAATTCAAAAAGAGAAAGTGCTCTTTGATTAGTTTCTGGGGGAAGACAATCTATTTTGGTAAGATAAAGACCATTTCCAAGAAAAGGTGGAGGCCAAGAATTATTTGTAGTTTTATTGTTGTTAGTTAATTTTAATTTTTTTGTTAGTGAAGACTTAAAATGAAAGTTTTTGGAAAAATTTTTTACTTTTAAATCACCTCAGTAGCATCTATTGAGGCAATACAAATTAAATCGTCATTTTTGTTAGCAATTTCTTCATTGTTATTGGAAAACTCCCTATCAAAATCACATACTGTTGAAGAAAAACATTCATCAGAACATGTTTCTAACAAGTGTTTTCTCTTCATAAGCAGACCCTAGAATGTGGTTAATCTAAATAAATGAAATTATTGTAGAAAAATTGAAACATAAATTGTACGCCATTAAGTCCAATTTGAAAAATATTTGATTTAAAAAATCATTTACATAAAAAAGGTTAAAATTAAATATTTTTATGAAAAATTTTTTATGTAAAAATACAAAAAATTTTAAATTCAAATAACTAATTATATAGAATTTATCACAAGTTAATCCCATTTATTAATTTATAAGTCACATTTCATTAAATATTTCATTACTCAAAAGATTTCGAGCCACCACGAGACGCATTATCTATAAAAAATTTAAATAAAAAAATATATTTATTTAATTTTTACTTCATTTGTTCCTTCAATTATTTGATGGACACGACAATCACGTAAATATTGCTGAAGAGGGTAATCTTTAAGCATACCATAACCACCATACATTTGAACTGCTTGATTTACAACCTAAAATTTGTTTTAAGGGTTTAAATAATTTATTGACAAATTTCCAAACTTTATGGAATTATCCATTTCCTAGCCAACATTTTTATTTATTTTAATTAGGAGATTTAATATGGGGAAAAGAAATATAAAATAATTTGTTTAAACAAACATTAAAAGCTTCATCTGTTATATACAATTTTGCCATTGCACTATAGGAAGATGCATTTGGTGTATCATTTTCTACGTGCAAACAAGCTTCTCGCAATAACAATCTCGATGTAACTAACTAAAAAAAAGAAAAAAAATGAATAAAAAATAATAAAATTTACCTTAACAGCCATTTCTGCCAATTTAAATTGTGTCCATTGAAACTGAGAAATTGTTTTCCCAAAAGCCTCACGAATTTTCGTGTGACTAATAGCCAAATCTAAACTCATTTGTGCTGCACCCAATGAACAAGCAGCTATATTTATTCGACCTAAAAAGGAAATCGTAAGGATAGCTAAAACAAAAAGTTAATTGTTAGTCCTTCTTCCCAAACTTTCTGAATATACTTTAATTGGATTATTCGGAAATTTTAAAAGAACTGATATGTAGATGTGGTAAACTGAAAATCAATAAAAACCCTATTCGTACCTCCATTTAATCCTTCCATTGCAATTGTAAATCCTTGACCCAATTCTCCAACTCTATTTGTTATTGGTACCTTAATAAAATATTTACTATATATTTTTTAATTATTAAAAACCTTAACATCCTCAAAAGTAATTATTCTAGTTGGTTGTGTACACCAACCAAATTTTCTTTCATCTTTGCCCAATTGAAAACCAAAAAATAATAAAATTAAAAATAATCATAAGGATGATTTACCAGGCATATCTGGTGTCATAATTAAAGAAAAAATTCCTTTTGGTCCCGGTGGTCCATCGGCCAAACGCATCATTACCAAATAAACACTAGATACACCACTGCCGCTAATAAATGCTTTAGAACCGTTAACTAAAAATATTTCTAAAATATTTTTTAAATCAAAATAACCAATATAATAATCCCCTTCTTGGCGTGCAACAGTTCGTAATGCAGCAGAATCGGAGCCAAAAAAAAAATAAAAATTATTTATTAAATAATTAAAATAATTAGTTACCACTTCCCGGTTCAGTAAGGCCATAAGAAGCTAATTTTTTAAAACTGGCCAAATCAGGAATATATTTTCTTTTTTGTTCTTCAGTTCCAAAACGGTCAATCATCCAAGGGACCTAAAAAGAGTGGAAAGAAATTATTTAACAAAAAGCTAGAAATGATTCTTTTTTAGTCAAATTATTCAACTTTATTTTTTTCAATTATTTAGGAAGATAAATTTTAAGTGAAGCCGGGACTGGCATTAATAAAAATCTAATTGTTAAATACTTAACCGTTTATTTATGTTTAAAAATAATTCTGACAAACCATATTATGTACAGCCATATATGCAGCAGTGCTTGTACATCCACCAGCTAATTGTTCAAATGCCAATGCCGCCTCATATCGTCCCAAACCAGCACCGTTATATTCCTCACTACAATAAATAGCACCAAAGCCTAATTCCCCGGCTTTCTTAAAAGCATGAAGAGGTAATTCGCCCTTAAAAACTTTCAAATTTGTTCAAAAATATTTACAATACTTTAGCATCCCACTCATCCATATAAGGATAAAGTTCATTTTTAGCAAATTCTTTAGCCGTTTTTTGAATTTCTTTTTGTTCTTCAGTAAGTCCAAGTGTAGCTAAATATAAAAATATTTTTTAAATAAATTAAAAATAACTTACGATCTACACAATAACTCAAATTTCTAAATGAATTTAATTGAAATTTAGTATTTTTTAAAGGAAATGATGATATTAAACGTTTAAACATCATTCCTAAAATTTAGAAAAATATTTTTAAAAATGTTCGGGAGAATAATAGAAAAATGTGATGTGATCAAAGAACGATTTAATAAAAAAAATTACGCGTGATACTAGAAGAGAAATTGTAATTGATTACAAAATTTAATCAAATGGGACATAAAATTAGCAGAAAAAAGTTGAAAGGGTATTTTTCGAAAATCTATTAAGAATCTATTTCGAAAATCTATTTCGAAAAATCTATTTCGAAAATCTATTTTCGAATTAAACTATAGCTTATATGCCTTCATTGTAGGACTTTTAATTAGTAAACACAGTCGGATAGGATTGACCAAATAACTTCTGATTTCGAATAAAAATTTAAAATAATAAAATAAATTGTGTAAAAACATCATTCTATATAAGTGTTAACCAACAAATTTTTTATTCAATTAAAAAACAGAATAACTGCCAATTAATTTCAATATAATCATAACAAATCATTTCCTTCCATTTCTCCATACTTTTTACTTCAACGGAATAAATCGAGAACTGTGTGTAGCTCCAATACCAGGACGACCGTGCTTAACAGGCTTGTAAGTAATCGAAAATTCACCCAAATAATGACCAATCATTTCCGCACGGATTTCAACCTTTTTACAATAATTAATTTTTAAAACAATTATTTTTAAAATAATTACTTGATTATAAGCTTTTCCACTGTGAATACCCAAAACACATCCAACCATCTCAGGCAAAACGATCATATCACGCAAATGAGTCTTCACACATTCTGGTTTGGTCAACTCCGGAGCATTCAATTTAGCTTTACGAAGACGAACAAGCAAAGATTTATGTTTACGGTTCAATCCACGATTCATTTTGCGTCGTTGACGACAAGGAAGCAATTTATTGAATTGCTGACTTGAAAGTAAAAATATTATCTTCAAAATAAAAATGAAAACAAACTCATTCATTTCCAAAAGTTGCTCCAAATCAACACCACGATAAACAAATTTACGAAAAGTTCGCTTTTTCTTTTGCTCAGCTACGTCCGTCATTTTTTTTATTTTTTAAAAGCTATCTATGAAAAAGAAAATTTAAAACATTAATTTAATTATTTAAAGATATTAAAATTAAAATAAACAAAATAAAAAATATATTTAAAAAGCATTTATATATTTATATTACAAAAATATAGTAGTTTTTTGATTACTAATAATGAATTAAAAATCTAAGCAGAAAACTTTGGTTAAATTCACAATTAAATTTTAAAGATATTTTATAATAAAAATTATCTAAAAAATACAAGTTAATAACAATCAATAGTTAAACAAATATTTTAAGCAATTGGTTATTATTTAATCATTTTATGAATCAACAAGACAAAAACATCAATTGCACTAACTTGTATTTAGAAATGTTCATTTTCTAAGAGAAAATTCCCTCAAAAAGCTCTCATTTTTACAACCTAAACGTCCTTTTCTTATTTAATTTTATTAAATAATTGGAATATAATTATCGATTTTAGCCCGATGACGATGTGCAATACATTCAGAAATCCAAATAATATTACGCATTTCTTGCTCCTTCAGTTTAACAAAAGCATAGAACACTCCAAAATGGAATTGATGTAAATAAGCTTGGACATTTAATTTTACCTGTAAAATTTAAAAATTAAATTCTGCTATTCAACAAAAACCTCATGTTCGAAAAATTTATCTTCAAGAGTTTTTTCTCCTGGATTGTTTCCGCTGTTTTCAAAAAGTTGTTTGTAGTCAGAATAATAGTCACAAACTTGTTTGACTTGCTCATAATCATCAGCCTAAATAAAAAACAATTTTTAAATTAAAACAAAAAAAACTTTTGCAAGTCCAGTTAATCCCTCTGGATAAAGCTTTCCACAACGTGGATATAAATTAGCGCGGTCATCTTTGTTAAGTTCAGTGTCAAAACTATTTATTGTAATAATAATAGCACGACGATCAGCTTCAAACTAAAATTTAGAGAATTAGTTCTTCCTCTGGGAAAGTCTAACCGCCAAAATTTCACACATAACTTCGGCCGTTTTTCCCCCAAGTTTTTTACAAAAATTATAAAAATCTTCAATATAAGACTTGTAAAGTGTATTTCGAATAATCTCAACATTTAATTCGTCCAAGTCTTGTTCACTAATACAGTCGACAAAATAAGGAGCTGAAAAATTATAAGATTAGACAAAACTATACAAGAACTTCACCTAAAGGTGTGTCGACAAGAACAGCATTATAAAGTTCAGCAGAATTTGAAGCAATATGTATTGCTTCCATTTGCTCAAAAGAACCCAATGGATGGCATTTTGAAATTAATTCGTTAATAGGTCGTTGATGCAAAGTTCCAGTTATTAAAAGAATTATATTGTCAATCATGTACGAATAGCTAAAAAAATATTGTAGATTAGTTGAACCCTTTATTGGCAATAAAAGAGAAACAAATGGATACAGGAAGAAATACAACATGTAGATAATGCATTATGTATTAGAATATAACACGACTCGTTAAAACCATAAAGACAAAACACTCCAAAAAATAGAAAAACAAACGTAATAAAGTCCAAAAAAGTCGACAAAGGCTCCAAAGCATTGTTTCGAAGATGATTAAATTCTGCAACCAATTTCTCTTTCAAACGTTCATCAATAACCTTAAAATGATTTTCTGTTTAATTTAAAATTGAATTAAAATAAACTTGAACAGTAATACTTCCAGGTTCATTTGCCAAAAAATTTCCATAATCAGTTGATTGAATATGCAATTTTAAATCTAAAAATTCTTTTAAAAGAATATATTTTCAAATTTAAACCTTCGAGAGTTTCGCATTGCACAAGATTAGCGTAATCCGTCGTTGTTAAAAGACCGGACTTAAATCCACGAATTAATCCCTCTAAATAGCCATGATCGATATTAAAGAAGAATTCACTCATTTCTTTTATTAACTAGGTCTAAAATACTGCTAAATAATTTTTACAAAATATTGAAAATTGATCAAATCAGATACAAAATCCTCCACATTCTAACGAAAGATCAATGATCACAAAAGTAAAATGACGCATACATAATTCGCGGAACGTCCCAACTGAGTCCCGCCGACTGAGTCCCTTACCCATATTTTAGGCCATAACTCTTTCAATTCTTAATTGATTTAGACAATTAATATAAAATCGAAAGATCTCGATGAAAGGATTATTTTATCTAGTAGGATTAATCTGACCAGGTCAACATACAAAAGGTTACAGCTTAATAAAGATCAAAAATCACGATTGCGCGCACTTAACTAGATGCAACTCTTTGTATGATAATCTGATTAAATCACCCCATTCGGCAAAAATAATTCTCAAAACCAAGGCTTTCGAATGATAAAAGCTTTATTTGAATTGGTCGAAAGCCAAAAAGTTATGGCCCAAAATATGGCTAGAGGCCTCAGTCGGCGGGACTCAGTCGTCCCCCACCGCATAATTTATGTACAGTCCACTTTGTCGCAGACCATTTTGCCTACAATAAGATTCTGAAACGCCCAATATTAAAAATCTTTCTTTTTTGTCTTGTTCCACAATTTCTCTGCACTATTAAACGGAACAGGACGACTGAACGCGACCAATACTGATCGGCTATTTTGAATCGACCTGAATCGACATCGACTTTTACCCCGACTATCGAGCGGTGGCAATTAGGCATGGACTGTAGTTGTTAATTATTAATTTACTAATTAATTGTTCCACCTAAGGCTGTTTGAGTTGCCAGTGTTAAAAATATTAAATGCCTAATTGGCTTCTTCCTTATCTTGTTGGACCCAGCTTTCCGTATTCTTTCGAATGACATTTTTGTCGAAATTTTCCCAAAAAGTAAAAAACCACTAAATGTTTTAATATTATATTTTTGTGTTATTTTCTTTTTTCTATTTATTAATTGCTAATTAAAATTAACTAATTAATTTTTTTAAAGAGTACAATGAGTGTAATTTCTCGAATTCGTTCATTGCCGGTTACTTCTTCAACATCGACTCTTCAATCGCTTTGCTTTGTGCAAATTGTTCCGCTTCGTTATCTTACATATGACCATTTGCCTGTTCCGCCTCCGGCTAAAATTCAAATGAAGCCACCGCCAAATGAGAAGGGACATTTTCACTACGAACGTAGTTGGTCTAGAGATAAGCGCTACAAGCCGCAAATCAATAGTAACACGACATTCAGGTTTGTTTAAAAATTAACTGTAATATTCCGTAAAGTCCCTCATTTCTTGCAAGGTTTTTTCGATATTATAAATTACAAATATGGATTCTTGATTCAAATGTAACAGATTCTTTTCACTTTCTTCCAAAATTTTTCTATAATTTATGTCTTCGAGCAGATATCGAGGAAAAACACATTTTTATTTTTATACCTTCCTCTTATTTTCTGTCATTTAATTTTATCATTTAATTAAATTTCTAACAGATTTTTGTTCCACAATCTCGAACATGATTTTGAGCTTTGGCCAATTCTCTTCCTCTTCTCTGTTTCTTGTACGTTGGTTCTCATAATCGGATTTTATGCAACTAGGCGTATTGAAATTTGGTATGATCGAAGTATGTGTTTGTTTTTGTTTTTATTATTAGATTTATTTTTCAGGCACAAAAATCCCTCCTTGGGATTGGTCGCGTATTCGTGAGGATTATTGGAAATACCCGACTCAAATGTAAGAAAATAAAAAGATAATTTAAATAATTTATTTAAATTAGCTATGATCCATATGGATATTCTCATCAGCGTCTATTCATTATGGAAAAGCTGCAAGACAAATTGTTGGAGGCTGCTCGTGAGAGGGGAACTCGCACTTGATTGAAAGGAATATATAAAATTGTTATAGGTAAAAAATTGTGGAAATTAAAATATATTTTAGTTGAAAAGGGGGAAAAAGAAATTTAATATTTTCTTTTTCCAACAATTATTTTTTTCGAAAAAAATGTTCTGTAAAATGTTGGATAAATTGTGTAGCTTAAATTGCCTTTTTTGTGTTAAAAATAGGAAAGGGTATTTTTTAGGTTAATAAGATTTTAAATTAAAAAAGTTAGTTGGAATTATCATAAAATTGTTTCTTTATCAGAGATTTATATTTTTTGGTTAATTTTTCAAAATTTATTTAAAAAAATTTATCTTTGATATTTTTTATATAATTATACAAATTTATAGTTTAAATTCCAATATATATATAATTATTATAGGTAAAAAATATACAAATATTAAAAGTTAAAAAACTTTAAAAAATTAATCTGGAAGGAGTTCATCTCCATCATCATTTTCAAAAAGTAATTCTGATTGTTGTTCATCCCCCGCCCTTCTCATTCCAGTCATTGGGCGAGTAGCCATAGAAAAAGAATTATTGTTTATATTATTGTCTTTCCAAATTAAATCATCGGCAGCTATTTTTTAATTAAAAAAATTACTAAAAAATTTCTTTTTAAATATTTACTAATATCCCTTTTTGTAGCTTGATAATTTTGATTACTTCCCCCAACTTGTTGTAAAATTTGTGAAGCTCTTTCAGAATTTGTTGTCGCTCCTCTTCCACTATTTCTTTGACTATTTTGTTGAGATGTTGGAGTTGAAATATCAAAAATATTTTTTCTTTCATTATTTGCTGATAATTGCCTTTGTCCTCCAGATTCTCTTTGTGCTTTTAATTGTCCTATTTTTTCAATTCTTCCCAATTTTTCTGTATAATCACGCTCTTCCACTGTTAATCGTAATTCTTTGCTTAGTTGTACAAGAAATTTTAAACCTTTAAAATTAAAAAAAATTATTTTCTTAAAATTTAGAATTGAAAAAGGTATGGGGGCAGGTGTGAAGGAATAAGAGAAACTTTATTTTCTATTTTTATTGCTGCTCTTAGCTAGGTCTGATAAAAAAATAATAGAAAGATATCAAAACAAAAACTTTAACAAATTTTCAGTTTCCCTTTGTCTTCCAAATTTTTAATGTTCCATGATTAGTTTTCTTTAACCAATTTTGGAACTTCAATTTAGGGTTTCTTAATCTACAAAATATACTAATTAGCTAATGCCTTTTTATTTTTTTAAATTTATTTTTAAAAAATTCCTTTACATTCAACATTTTCAGGAAATCTTCTATGTACTTGTTTGTATATTTCCAATGCTCGTTGAAAATTTCCTGAACGTCTTTGACACCCGGCAGTCAACATTGGCCATTCCTTTTTTTGAAATAAAAATAATTTTTAATTTTAAAAAAGAAAATAACCGGATTATTAGGTTCCATTAAAGCAGCTTTTTCAAAATATAAAACAGCCTTTTCTGAGAAATGTGCAGACATATAATAATTTCCAAGCCATTTAATTAATGAAATATTTGAAGGAAAATGGTGAAAACTCTTTTGGAAAAAAATTATTTAAAAAAAAAATTAATTTTCAAAAAAACAAACATCACGAAAATATTGAAAAGCTGTTGAATTATCACCAAAATTCTCGTAAATAGATGCTAATCTTTCTAATATTGAAGGGTCTGTAGGGGCTAGAGTACTTGCTTGAGTAAATAATTCTATTGCTTGTGAATGTTCTCCTTGTTGATTATATCTTTTTTGGAATTAAATTAATTAATTTAATTTTTAAAAAATATTATTGAACTAAAAAAGGATTAAAGTAAAGGAAAGGGGCAATCGAATTATGTCAAAATTATTAAATATTTCTTTTTCAAAAATTTTTTAAATTAAATTTTAAAATTTACATTTCTGCCAATTGAATAAGTACTTGAGGTTCATGTGCCAACATATCATTTAATTTAAAAAAATTTCTTTTTGCTTCATCTAATTGCCCAAGTAAACGACAAACTAAACCAGAATTACTAAAAAAAAAGAATTTTCTTTTAAAATTAATTTCTAACTAAATAGCTTGTATACAACCAGAATCTACTTGTAAAGCTTCTCTAAAACATTGTAAAGCTAATTGAGGCTCGTTTTTATAAAAATGAATATTTCCACGATTTACCAAAGCATTTGAATTATAACTAAAGTAAATATATTTTTTTAATATTTTTATTTAGTTATTTACCGATCTAAACTCAATGCTTGTTCACAATATTGTAATGCATCTTCTAATTTATCTTCTCCTTTCTTAAGAAATAAATTTAAATCCGACTGATTTTATAAAGAATTTAAATTTACCAAAAGATTAATTAAAGCCAAATTATTACTAGCTGCACTTGCTATTTTTCCATCTGTTTTACTATTAAAAGCCAATAAATCTTCAATTGCTTGGTCTAAATGTCCTTGACGTAATAATTCAATTACCTTTTTTAATTTTAAAAATAATTTAAATTAAATCAAAACTTTATTCATTTCTAATTCTGTAGCTAATGTTGCATATATTGAATGTTTTATACATTCAACACACCAAGCATAACCTTCAGAAAAACTGAAAAAAAAAAAGAATTATTTTCCTCATAAAATTTGTCTCTTTGTTTTTACAAATTTTTACAATTCTTTTATTCCCGTAAAAGTTTAAAGGAATTAAAAAATGTCAGATGATTTTTAAAATTTTCAAAAAAAATTATTGCCTTGGGGCAATTGCTTGAGAAATTATTTTTGCAGCCAAAAGAATTGTTTTCTCTGCATGATGTCGTTTACGCCTTTCCCAAATTGCTAAAGAATCATTTTCTAATAATTGGGTAGTTAATACATCGAATTCTTCCTTTTTTTAATTAAATAAAATTTATTTTTTATAAAAATACATACTTGTTGTTGTTTATTTTCATCAATTAAAATAGGAATATCAACTAAACGTTGAAATGATTCTCTCATTTTTTCTTCATTTCCTAAACAATAAGCCTACAAAAATTAATTTAATTTTAAAAATAAATTATTTTTTACAGCCATTATTAAATTTAAAGCAGTCGAATAATCAGCTGCTGAACGTCCATTTAATTCTAAACTTTCCTCAAATGAAGATAAAGCATCTTCATAACTAAAAATTAAGGAGAAAATATATTTATTTATTATCAAATGTGCAAAAGTAATTACTCAAAAATTATTAAATAAATTAGTAAATTAATTGTGTAAATTTGTTAGGAATAATAATTTAATTAAATATATCAGAAACAAAAATATGTAAATCCTTGAGTGCCATTACTTGTGCACACCGCTGTATTTTTTAATTTTTTTACCGTCCAAGTCTAACCATAGCAACTCCAATATTACTCAAAATTTTTGCACGCATTCTTTGATGAACCTAAAAGTTAAAAATAATGGAAAGAAAGAGAGATATTTAAATAATTGAGAGGGATATCCAGAGAGAGAGGGCTGGGAATCAATTGAGAGAGAGAAGGGGTATCCGAATGATAATTATTTAATCAATTAACAATTTAGCCCTAAAAGCTACCCACAATCCCTTCTTATTAAAAAAATAATTTTCTTTTGCTCACTTTCGGTACTTGATCTAAAGCCATTCTATAATATTTCAAAGCTTTTGTATATTCTTTTTTTCTAAAATAAATATTTCCAATATTTATTTTTAATCTATGTCCATTTGCATAAGAACGATTTCTACAAAAAAATAATTATTACATTTCCTCTACATATTTAAAAAAATACTTGACAATTGTTTGATAAATATTTAAAGCTTCAGAAGGTATTCCATTAATTAATTTTTGTTGTGCTAAACACAATAAAGAACACCAACCCAAATCCATATTTTGTTGTTCTCCCGAACTTTTACGTAAATTATCTGATGTTCTCCATTGTCTTGTTGCTTCTTTAGCTTTATCTAATGCCTTTTAAAGAAATTTAATTTTTAATTTAAATTTTCTTTACAGCTTTTATTTCTCCTCTTTCAGCCAAAAAAGTACTTTCAAGTAATTGTTCCATTGCTTGATCTTCTAATTTTTTAGCTTTCTCTAATTGCGCATTTTCTTCATTTTGAAGGTTATTATTGTCTTCATTTTGTTGAATCGGTATTTTATCAAAAGTACTTTCTTTTTGAAATTATTTAAATAATTTTATTTATTTAAATATTTACTTCTTCCAGCAGAAGAATAACCAGCCCCTCTTATTGCAGTCATTGGACGTGCTAATTCTGAAGACATTCCAGTTCGTAAACCAGCAGCTGTTCCACCAGCAATTCCTGTCCTCGCACGAGATAGAGGGAGAGGATGATGGGCTAAAAAAAGATTTTTAAATTTATTTTGAGGTTCTTTTTAATTTAAGATTACCATTAATTCCTCCAGTTGCAAGTCTTTTAACGCCCATTTGAGAATATGAGGCGGCTGTGGGCAATCGAAGGCCCATTGCAGTTCCTACAGGCATTGATGTGCCCAAACGTGAAGATGTAGCCTTTAAAATTTATATAAAATATTCCCTTTTTTAATTTAACCGGTCTACGCCCATAACTTGACCGAACAGCTGCTTGAACAAAATTTCCATCAGAATATAAATTCTTTAAATATATTTTTGAAAAATAAAATTTTTAATAAAAAAACAGTAATACGTAGGTTTACTTCTCCTTCTTGATGATTTTTTACTTTTTCCTTTATTTTATTTATTTATTTATTTATTTACACCACTAGGGTGTGACAGTCAAAAATAAAACAATTTGAAGTGAAATTATGAAAAATAAAAATGCAAATAAAAAATGTCCTTAAAAAAAAATAAAAATCAAAGCAGCTTAATTAAAAAATTATATCATTTGTCATTTAAGATGTTGGAAATATCCAACTGTGCAAGAAGTTTAGAAAACATTTTGGGTGTATTTTTTCTAATTTCTATAGGAATTAGTGAATAAATTCTAGCAGTTCGAACAAAAAAGGAATTGTACCGAATCATGGTTGAACAACGTGTTGGTTGTATTTTATATTTTTCGCCCCTAGTTTTTGTTTGTTTTATTATATAGGAATTATTATGCTTAATTTTAATTTTCCCAAATATATTTTGATGAAATAGCTTTAAATCAGCTTTAAGTCTTCGACTTTCAAGGGATTCTACTTTAAAATGTTGTAAAAGTGTTTTGTATGGTGGAATATCTTCTATTTTTACCTTTGTGATTCTTTTGTAAACAAATCTTAAATATCGTTTTTGTATGTTTTCTATTAATTTAATGTTTTTCTTAGTTAAAGAATTCCAAACCGGTGACCCAAATTCTATAATTGACCTTACGTATATATTAAACGCTTCTATAAGAATTTTAGGATCTTGTGATTTTAGAGATTTAATTAATGCATAGCAGTTTCTATTGGCCCTTAGAGATATTGTTTGAATATGTTTATTAAACTTGAATTTAGAAGTGAAGAAAATTCCGAGATCCCTATTCTTGTCTTCATTACTAATTTGGAATATATTGTGATTTCCTATTGAGTATTGTAATTTAGGGTTTGATTTACCTATATATAATACTGAGCATTTATTTGATGATATGTTGAGACCGTTGATGTTACAATATTGAATGAATTTATTAATAAATAATTGTAAAGAATTGTTAGATAAATCGGTTTTTGTTAAAATTTGGTAGGCTTTGATGTCATCGGCAAATAGTTTTATTTTTATTGCGGGAGTATAACAGAATGTTGGCAAGTCCGATAAGTATATATTAAAAAGGAGCGGACCTAAGATAGATCCTTGCGGGACTCCACTAGTAATAGAGAATTGTTCAGAATATTCATTTCCTATTTTAACAACAGATTTTCTGTTGTGTAAGTAATTAGAGATCCATTTTAAGAGTGATGTTTCAATTCCTATTACTTTTAATTTTGTTAAAAGACGTTCATGGGGTATAGAATCAAAGGCTTTAGCTAGATCGAAATAAACTATGTTTATTAAATTTTTATTATCCAATGCAAATGATATATCATCTTGAACCTCAATTAGTTGGGTAGTAACGGATTTGTTTGGTCTGAATCCATGTTGACAATCTGGGGCCTGTTTCAATTAGCATCACATCTGCGATATGATGATACGATGTGATGAAGAATCATATCCCCGATGCGTGTTTCAGGAAAATCATACGAATAATCACATCACAGATGTGATTAATCATATGAGAAAATCATACGCGTGTTTCAATTAATCATATCGTCACATCGCTGATGTGATCATCACATCGTACGTAGAATCATACGCGGCGTATGATTTATCATATGATTAATCATACGTATGTTTCAATTACAAAATATTGAGACGTATGATGTTCGTCATATGATGAGTTTTGCCTTGGAAACATCATATGTAGACATACGTGCTTTTTGGTACATATGTGCCAATTAAAGAGTTTTTAAAAATTTTTTTAAAAATCCTAATTCAACCTAAAAATTCCAAATTAAATATTTTTAGATAGGATAGAGTGTGCTCTATTTTTTGAATTTTCTGCGCCACAGGCGAAAATTTTGAGAATTTTGGCTAATTAATGACTGAATTAAAATTTTTAATGTTTTTTCAAGTTTAAAATATTAAAAAAAATAAATTTTAAAATCTAAAATGAAAATCAAAGTTTAAAAACATTTATTTTTGAAAAAAATTTTTTCCGGCCTAATTTGCAACCTTGGACTCGAACCCAACCCTATTGAACTAGCAGTGAGTAAAGTCAGACGCCTTAACCATTCAGCCACACATCAACACAAAAAAAATTGGGAGAAATTAAAAATATTTCTTTCCCTTTTCCTTCACATCGGAAATATGACGATATGACGACCCATCATATCGTAAATACGATTTTTAATTGAAACAATCATATGATGATACGACGTCGTCATATGACGGACAAATCATATGCAGCCGTCATATGACGTTCCTGCATATGATTATGACGATATGATGATATGATCTTAATTGGAACATGCATATGATCATCATATCATCACATCGCAGATGTGATCCTAATTGAAACAGACCCCTGGTAATATACCATTTTGTTCAACATAAATTGATATATCTCAAAATCGAAAAAAGCTACTATAATCAAAATTTTACAAATAATAAAATGTAGTAGAGAAAACGTTGGGGTGTGTTAAGTAAACTCTAGTCATGTAATGGATTTTTATTGCCATTTTTATTGTCTACTAACATTAAGTTAATGATTTATCTGAATCTCAATCCTTGAAATCTCAATCCTTTTGTCACTTGCTTCAGGAACAATAAAGGGAAAAAGAGGGAAGGAAAAAGGGAGATGTAAACCAAAGTATTATTACCAAACAACCTCCAAATCATAAGCATGATCATAATCATTAAAACCTCCATATGGATCATCTTGTTTTTGTTGATTATTAGCAGACGATAATTGTTGTGCTTGGCGACTTTGAGCACTCATTTTACTTTTGATAAAAGAAATAATTATTTTAAAATTATTGGTAAATTTAAAATTTCTTTTCTTCTTTTTATTAAAAACTATTTGTAACCAATAGCAACAAATAAGGGAGAGATATAAAGACAAAATTAAATCCAAATATTTATTATCAAAAACAAAAATAACAAAAAATAAACACAAAAAACACCTAAAAAATAATATTTTAATTTTACTTAAATTGTTTTTTTAATTGTCAATTTTGGGTTCTCTTCATTTTCTAATTCTCGATTTTCTACTAAAAGAATTGGTTTTCCCCTTCCCGCTTTTTGAAATTGTTCATAATCCTCTTGTCTAATATTTTTACGTGAAGACCATTGTTGAGCAGCTAAAAATGAATATTAACGAAATTTCTCTCCTTAAATCGAGTCATATCTACGAAAAAAACATTTTAGGGAACAATGGATAAGTTTTCTATTTCGAGAGGTTAGTACTATTGAAGGTTAATATATCAAGGTTTAACTAATTGTAACTAATGTGTAACTAAATTTGTATAATTTACCTAATTTTAGTTAAAAAGAATTGTTTTTAGCCCCTTTTTACCAAAATAATAATAAAATTAATTAACCATTGTTTGCCCATTCCTGGTAAGCTTGTTTAAGTTCTGCCTTTCCAGATTTATTGTACGCAACAGTTTCGGGTAAATCCAATAAATGCCGAACAGAATCCCTTTTAAGTGTGAACGATATAAACATGGAAAGCACATTGTTTGTAACCCAATAAACACAAAGTGCCTAATAAAAATATTTTTTAAAAAGTTTCAAAATTTTCGAAATACCGAAGGAAATTGTAAAGCAAAAACAAATACAACAGCTGGAAAAGCATATAAGAGAATTGGACGCATTATTGGAGACGCATCTAAAGAGCCTATATCTACACCACTCTTAATTGTTAAAAAGAAATAAATTTAGAAATAAAGTAAACCTTAAAAACGAAGTGAACTGTAATTGCAGAGATGGCAGGCAAAATCTTTAAAAAAGGTAGAATTTAATTATTAATATAATAATTATTAATTTTCTTGTATCTAAATGAAAATAAAATATCATCACATTGGAATTTCGAAATAAACCCCAAGGAATCCTTCCGATATCCCAGGGAATCCTTCCGATGTTAGAGGAAATAATCAAAAATAAACGAATCATTTCCAAACACAAATAAATATTTAAAGAACCTTTGCATATCCTTAATAAAAATTAATATACCCAATAAGGATCGCCAACAGTGAGGTCTGTGAACCAATAAATCCCTCCATCTTGAAAACCCTAAAAAAAGAAAAATTAAAAATATTATAATTTTCAACTAACTGGATATTTAGCAACCGCCATATTTCTTATAGCAAAGAATTGTGACATAAATACCAAAGAGTTTGAAGCGATTAGCGGCATATATTTAACAGGACTTATATCCTTTAAATAAATTTAATAAAAAAAAATAAATTACAACCTTTTGTTTCAAAAAATCCTTTTGTTCCATCATTATTTGATAAACTAAAATAAAAATTTTAAAAATTTTACAAAACAAACCAAGCATGTGGTCTCCCTCTCTTTTTGCCTCCTTTGTTCGATCATTAAATTTTTGAATTTCTGGTCGAAATTGACTCTGCCTGGCATTAAAACGTTGAATTTTAATTGGAACATAAATCAAAGTTAAACGAATTAGAACAGTCACTAACAAAAAGAAAAAATATTTTTATTGTTAATTTAAAAAATAACTAACTAGCTGCAATTACTCCCCACCAAGGCAAATCAGTGTAAAAATGGCACAATTCAAAACCCCAACGCAACCAACAACTAGGCTTCCACCAAGTCCACAATTCCAAATCATCCAATATACTAACCCCTGCAGCCACTAATTCTTCCAACGTTTGTTTAGCGCCAGAAGGCACTGGAGGTGGAGGAATTTGCGACGTTAAATCAGCTAATAAAAATAATAAAATAATTAACATAAAATTTAAACAAACCAATTTCTTTAAAGAAAACATCCTTTGTAGACAACGGCCTAACAAATTGAAGATTGACAATGCTTTTTGTATTAACATATTGAAATGATTTATTAACCAGCCCTTTAGAACATGAAAAATGTCGAAAGCTGATGAGAACTTTAACAAATTTTAATTTTCTTTGATCGCCAATCATTTTTAAAAAATATTTATTTTGTCCTAAAAAATATTTTATTGTAAATAATTTAATCTATTAAAACTAAAAACCAAATAATTATTAGAATTTCATTGTATCCAATTTTAAAAATAAAATTTAAAAAGTAAATTTATTTTATAATTTATTTAAAGCACTAAATAACAAACAAGAATAGACATATTTTAATTTTATTGCCACTAAAGTGTCATCAAGCAATCTACATTAGAACCAGAATTAAAATAAATTTAAAAAATCTAAAAACTATCACAAAGTATTATTTAAAATTGTATTTTAAGAAAGAAATTAATTTATAAAATTGTTGGGTTTTGAAGAATGAAGTTAAAGAAGAAGTTTTTTAAGATCTCAAGTTGAACAAAAATATATATTTAAGGATTCTCAGAATTTTCTGGTTGTGGAGGATAAAGTGTATTAAGCAAAAAGGCAGCAACATCAGGATTTGTCCAATAAGAAAAATGTGAACGAAGCATTGACCAATAGGATTTTTCTAAAGTCCAAGGTTGTACCTAAAGAAATAATCAAAAATTTAACTAAATAATTCAACAAAAACCTGAAAATCGAGTCTTTGATTAATTCGCCTTTCAGGTGGAATTTCTTCGACTAAACGACCAGCTTCACCCATTGTTTTCAAAATATCATGTGAGGCAACATTCTTTTGTTGATTACTTTCTACATCACTAACTAGTTCTTTAAATTTTTCTTCATCATCAACCCCAGGCTCAATTCCAACTTCAAGTGCTTGTTCATCAATTTCTGTTTGATCTTTATTAATTTTTGCATAAGAGTCAGGATCACAAAATTTTAATTCCTGAATTGTTGGAGTAGCTGGTGTAAGTGTTGCGTTTGTATTATTTTCAATATTATGGGGAGTTATACTTCGAGGAGATGAACCTAAAATTGGTCAAAAAGGAAAATTATTCGAAAGTTTTTGCAAATGGGGTTTTCGAGATCGATCTCGAAAAATCCGAAAATTTCTTAGCAATTGGATACTTATAAACTAATGGTTATTCTCAAAAGTATTTTTTAAACAAAACCTGTCGCCGGAGTTGAATTACTTTGACAGCCAGCATCTGAATCAGAATCCACTTCATATTTAAAATATTCATCTTCGTCATCTCCATCGACTGACTTTGGGCGTTCTTTCTTAGTCTTTTGGGATTTACTACCATTTTTAGATCCATTATCACTAAAAACAAAAAAATATAATTTATTTTTAGAAATATAAACCTTTTTCCAGTCTTCTCTTTTGATTCTTTTCCTTTATTGGCTTTAACTTCCCTCCTCTTTCTATCCTTACATTCTTCCAAATAACTTTTATGGCAATCATAAAAATTATTATCATAAGGTTTTACTGCATCCCGATAACTTTTAAAATAAATAAAAAATTATTTAAAATTTAATTTTTTAAAAATTACTTGAAAAGTTTAATTGGCCTAATGTGTTTATAATTTTCATGAAACATAGGCTCCAACCGATAAGAAACAGGGTCATATGGATGAAAAATATTAAAAATTCTTTCAATTTTATCTTTATCCGGCACAATACTTCGATAATCTGCTCCTCTCATTATTGTAAAAACAGCTAGAGGAGAACCAAGACAGAAAAGATATTTTACCTTAAAAATAATTTAAAAAAATAAGATAATAAAGTCAACTTTAAATTTAAGTGGTTCATCTTGTCTAACCAAAATTTGTTCCATTAAATCACCCAAATCAAGCATTTTTTTCCGGCTATCATAAAATTGTTCTAATAATTGTTTTTGTTCCGCTGGGAAATTTTGTTGAAGATTTTCGGCAATTGCATTAGTTACAAATTGATCGTAAAGAAGGAAAGGGCTCCAATTAGTTAAAATATCATAGGCAATTACTGATCCAAGGGAATGTCCAATAACAGAAACAGGACCTAAAAGTTTAAAAAATGGCCAAAAATTATTTTATAAAATAAAAACCAGAAAAATCCGGATTATTTTCCAAAAATGAAGTATAAACATTATTTAAACATTTGATGACTCCGTTTACAATTTCAGAACGATAAAGAGGGGAGTGATAATACATTAAGTCCATACAGACAGAATTAAGTGTACTTCTTGCCCAAACCATTTTTGGAAGAGTTACAACGTCTGTCATCCCTTTAGGAAAAAAATATTTGTAAAAAAAAAAAATAATTTAAAAACCATTGTCTAATTGAAGAGTCGAACGCCATTCAATAGGCAATATTGCTGGACGTCTCTTCTCATTTGGATAATATTTGTCCATTTGGTGAATGACCGCATCACGTATTTGTGCTGTATTTTTAGCTATTAAATTTTCATATCCTTTTTGTCCAATTCCGTGGATTACAAGAATCTATTTAAAAAATTTTAAAATACTAAAAAAAATTAACCAAATCAGAGAATTTAGGTCTTCCTTCCTCTGGGTTTGCCATTTCGATGTATCCTCTACGCAAAGGAACAGTTTTAGCTCTAGTCAAAAAACGAACAACTGCATTACTTTTTGAAGCAATATGGACATCCACTACAGAATTCCAACAAACTTTTTCATCTCCCCATTTAACAGTGGTTAATTCTAAAAAATTTAAATTAACTTAATTTTTTCAAAACAAAAATAAACCAGGTTTCTTGCTGGATTCCGATTCACTAAAAACAGGTGTTTCTGGAATAACATTGCCTTTAAAGCTTTTTAAATGGTGAGTCTCAATTGTATCAGCAAAATCATCTGGAAGAGGCTGACAGGTTTCCATATAAAACCAAGTTCCTCGACGAATCTAAAAAAATATTTAAAAACGACGTCAAAAAATATTCTGCCAATTTTTGAAAGTAAAAGGGAAAGAAGAATGAAAAGAAATACGGGATACAATTTATAAAATTTAATAGAAAAAACCTGAAAAGTATCCTCCTTCCAATATATTGCATTAATATTTTGCAATTGTTCATCTGCCACGTAATTACCTTCCATCACAATTACAGATTCGGGTAAAGAATTTAAAAATTTTGTTGTTTCCTCATCAAATTCTAATCCTTTTTGACGTCTAAAAGCAACTTCAAGAACAGTAGAATCATAACCTAAAAATTTTTTCTCACAAAAAATCTTTTTAAAAAACCTCTAAAAGGCATCCATTTTGTGTCCTCTTTTCGTCTAAAAAACCATCTAACTTCAGAACAAAATAGTTCCACAACTTTTCTTTTAATTCTCGGCTTTATTGCAATAATATTCTGAACTTTTCTAGCTGGACTTTGTAAACTTTGTTGTGTTGAAGAAACAGACCCATTCTTTTGTTGAGAATTATTTGATGAAATTTTGGAGTTGTCAGTTGTTGGAGGAGCAGATGATTTCATATTATCTTAAAATTGTTATTGTAAAGTGTGTAAAAAATTTTCTAGAGATTGAACCGAAACGAAATCTCGAAAAAAATCCGGCTTTTCGAGCCCGATATTTTTCGAGATTTCTAGTAGTTGTGTTTTTCGGTATTTCCAAAGGGATATGAATTGAGAAAAAATTAAATATAACTTTAAAATATTTTTTAAATATAAATAATTTATAAAAACAAAAAAAACAACTAGTATAAATATTTATAAAAATTAGAAAAAAAATTTAAATGCTAGTAAATAAATAATATTTTTAGTTTCACTGAGTTTTGAGCTTTAAAAAAATTAATTTTATGGCATTGTTCTAATTATTGCTATTTCGACCCAATCGAAAAAGTTTTCTTAAAGTACTCGATCCATTACGCAAAGCTGAATTTCTATTATTATTTGGTGGTGATATTGGTGTTGGATTTCTGAAAAAAATTAAAAAAAAATATTTTTCTTTCCAAAAAATACCTAAAAGTGTAATCTTCTGCTAAATTATTTGTTTGCCTTAATTCTTTTGTTGAGATCATTCCAGAAAACTTTAATTTAAAAAAGAAATTTTAATTAAAATAAATTTCTTTTACTTCTAAAGAATTATTATTTTCATTTAATTGCTCTTGAGCGGAATCAGCCAAAATTGACCGTCCAAATTGTAAATATTGGTGAATATTCGAAATTGGAGGGTTTTCGTCCATTAAATTATTATTTAAATTACTTCCATCAGAAAATGATGAAGAAGAAATTTTTGAAGAAAAATTTAAAGAATTTCCAGTAACTAAAAGAGAATTTGAACGACATTTTGTTGTTGTTATTGTATTTAAATGTTTCCATTCACTAAAAAATAAAAGGTAAAAATTAAGTGGAAATTGGAGAGAAGTTGTAAATAATTAAATAAAAATATTTTATTTAATTTTGTCAAAATATCTCAAATTTCTACAAATTTTCTAATCAAAAACTTCCCAATCCCCTTCTAATTTCAATTAAATATTTTCAAAAAAAAATTAAATTTACCGAATTTCAACATGTACAAGCAAAGCAGACAATTCTAAAGGTTCATTAAATTGATTAAGTAATGAAATTGAACGAAATCCAGGTCGAATACAATCAATTGGAAATATTGCTTGGCCAATAAAAGGATCCGTTTTGGGTCCAACAAAATCCCCATCCTCGACAAAAAACCGTAAAAGGCCCATTTCGGGATATTTAATTTTAAAATAAAAACGTTCTTGCCAAACAGGGCTTAAACCATTAGAACCTTTTTTGAAAGAAATTTAAATTTAAAAAATAAAAATTTACATATAGTATTTGTTTTTTGAATTTGAGAATCGTTTCCAAATCCAAGTAATTCAATTTCAACATATGGAGAACAAATTCCCCCTTTATCATAACCACTTTTACGAGTTAAATGTCTTCCAGCAATAATTGTAATAATTAAAATAATTGGTCTATTTGAAGTAAAAAGTGTTGATGAATTATTAACCTTTTTTAAAAGAAAAAATAAATTTTAAATTAATTTTTCTAAAAAAACCTTATTATTAATTATTCCATTTAAATTATTTTCTTTTTGTTTTTCTTCCAAATTTTCATCAAAATCTAAATTTATTTTGTCACAACAACATTTTTGTAAATCTCCATTCTCTTTTTCTCTGAAAATAAAAATATTTTTTAAAAATTAAATTAAAAATATTCTTTACTTATTTAAAGGTATTTTGCTTTTATTACGGCAAAAACGACAAAGTAATTTTTTCTTTACTCCCTCTAATTTTTGATTAAATAATTCATTTTGTTGTTTTTGCCAAAAAGTTTCATCCATTAAATATTGAGGTTTTAAGACATATCCACACCTTAATAATTTTTACAAATTTTGGGAGGAAATAAATATTAGATAGTAAAAAAGTATTTTATTCCTAAACCAAAAATAAAATAAACAGAATACTTATAGGGTTGTCGGTTCTTGGAAAATCTTCGTATATCCGAACCGAAAAAGCATCGGTTCTTCGGTTCTGTTCAGAACCGACACCCCATATATTTATTCTAAAATTTCTTCAAAAAATTTTATTTTTTATTTAAAATTACCGTCCATTTGCATTAAAACGTCCAAAATTTAATTGCATAGGTTTATCCCCAGTTTGAAAATTTAGAGCAACCATATGACATCCACTATTCCACATTGGTATTGGATTAAAATTTGTTGAAGTTAAACGGCTAGCTTGTGGATATACTCTTGAAAGTTGACGTTGATTAAATAAAGGCAAACCTTTCTCTATTAATTTATCATGCTTTGATTCGCTTTTTAATAAAAATTAAATAAAAAATTAATTTTAAAAATACCTAAAAGAACACATTTCAAAAAAAGAATTTCTTTGATCTTGCAATTTAAAATCTGGATTGAAAGGAACAGCTTGACAATAAACCTATTTTAAATAATTTTTTTCACTATTGTTATACCCAGAATGGGGTATGTCCAAGATACGGGGTCTTCGAGTTGATTGCTGGACGTGGGTTTAGTAGGAGGTGAAATATGAGTGGAGTTGGAGAGGAGGGAGTAATAGATTTATGGCATTTTTTGGTGAAAATTCTGCAAAAAATGTCATTTTACGGGGTGAGTTAGAGATGGATATTAAAATAAATTAAATTTACCACTAAACAAGATAATTGACTAGCAATTCTCAATTGTCTTTCCCTATTCCTCAATTGCTGTATTTTATCATTTGCTTGTCTAGATTGTTGTTGACATATTAATAACCATTCTTTTAATTCCTCTTCATTATCTGTAGCAACTATATAAACTCGGACTTTCCAATGAGATTGTGTTAAAGAAATTTTGAATGAATAAGGACGTTCTTCTCTCTTTAAATTAAAAAAAATTATTTTTAAATTAAAATTAAAAAAACATTTTCTTCAAAAGAAGTTCCAGCCAATTCAATAGTTCCATAATTTAATTCGCTACTAGAATTATTAGATTCAAAAGAAACATCAGAAACTTCATTAACACTACACGTTGGAAACCAACCAATCTATAAAAAAATTAAAAAAAATTTTTTTAAAGGAGGGGGTGTGGGGGCAAACAAACCTCATTATTATATCTCCCTAAATATAGCCATTTATCTATTTCTTTTTTTTCTTCATTTTTATTTAAAAAATATTTTTGTAAAACAGTAATTTTGGCACCAAGGGGAAAACATAAAGCTTTACCATTATAAGGTATTCCTTCTTTAAAATAATCTTTTAACATTAAATCTTCAATAAATTGAACTTCTTCAAATGATTCTATTGCCTCTACTTGAAACTATAAAAATAAAATTAGATTGATTATATCGAAATTTAAAGGTGGATTTTTAATTTTATAAGGGCTAATTAAATTTTAATGTCGATTTTTAAAACGAAAAGGATACTTTATTAATATTTTTTTAATATCCCACCACCAGCCTATTTGAGTTTCAGACCTAAAAAATTATTTAAAAAAATTTTTACTTCATTTTTCAAATCGTTTAATTCAACATAACAGCCATCAACTTGATTATCCTCTTCTTCTTTTAAAGAATTTAAATTTTCTTTTGTATTTTTATCCTTTACCTTTAAAATGAAATTAATTAAAAATTTTCAGGTATTTTTTTACCGTTTCTTCATTAACTGGATATTTTAAACAAATTCCTCTAAAAAATTGTATTTTTCCAAAATATTCAACTAATTGACACAAATTCTCGAATATTTGATTTCCAACAACAAAAACTCTTCCTTCTCTTTTTAATCTTAAATGCCAATTTATTGAATCTACCCTTAACGACAAAACAAAAGAATCTGTATCATTTTTGCTATAACGAATAAGGAATCCCCCATCTTCTCCAAATTTTGTTAATAATTCCTCTGCTTTTTGTGTATCACAATTTAAACAAAACCATTGTTGGTCTTAAAGAAAAAATAATTTTTTAAATAATTCTCCCTCTCTATTTTTATAGTTTTGGGACAACAAAACAACAATAATGTAGGCTCCCCAGGAAGCCTCCATAAAGAGTCCATTCCCAATCTTACACTTCTCCTACAATGGATCCGTGTTAAATGCTGAGCGTTGAGTGTCAAGTGTTTTGGTTCGTGCCTTTTTTATTTCATTGTAGGAAGGACACAACCACTCGACACTTGCACGGAACACTTGACATAACAAAACACTCAACACGGATGTCATTATGGGAGCAGCTTATACATAAGAATAGTAGCTATCTTTATAATTTCAAAAATTCTTTTACCTAAATGTGGCTGTGGTTGAGGACATGGTGTAAGTAAATATGTCTAAAAATTTTTTTCAAATTTCTTTTTCAAAAAACAAACCTTAAAATTAGGAGTATTTAAAGAATGTTTCATATAATAACTAATTAATTCATATAAACTTTCTTTTTTCAAAGTATCCAATAAATGATAACGTTTTTCTCCTCCAGGTAAAATATTTGTTTTTATCCGGCAATGATGTACTTCATTATTAAATAAAAATGAAAGAGTAAAGTCTCCAATAAAAGTATTTGATTCTCGCACAAGAAATGTTCCATTTATTTTATTTTTATTTAATCTTTCCTTTGCTTCTTCTCTGTCTATTTTACCGTGAAACCATTCTTCTGTTATGTGACAATTTGAACAATCTTCGACTAATAAAGTTGTTGTTGTTGAAGTAATGCTTTAAAAAAAGATCAAATGAAAGTTTAAAAAGGGCGGCCTTTTCCAAATCACCAAAAGGGGGCAATTTATAAAAGGGGGCAAATGCCTCTCAAATGAGGCAAAAGGACCATCCTGTGTTTAAGTTAAAAAGAAAACTCTCTAAGGGTCCAAAAGGCCGATTTAAAAGTTTGTTTTTAACAGTCACTATTTTTATATTTCCCCATTTATTTACCTATTTCTATGTCCATTATTCCCTCCATTATTTTCCTCCACTTCATCTCCATTAAAATTTTCATCATTTTGACTTCCAAAACTTTTCTCTCTAATAACTGCATTTAATTTATTATTCATTTTATTTTCATCATCAATTGGTTGGATTAAATAACATAAACGATCATGAAATAAAACAAAAATGTGTTTTCTCCAAATTGATTCTGTAAAAAATATTAAAGTTATTTTTGGTTTAAGATTCGAGTATAGGGTTGTCGGTTCTTGGAAAATTTTCGGATAACCGAACCGAACTGATATACGACCCGAAAAATCTCCGGTTCAGTCCAGAACCGATAACCTTATTCAGGTAAATAATAACGCAATTTAAAAACCTTCTCAGCTTCTAGTATTCACCTTCCCCCTTTTTTAAAAATAAAAAATACCTAATCCTCCATTAGCATTAGAAACATCATTCTTTAACCACAAAACTCCTTTTTTAATACATTGTCTACTTAAAATATCCTGATCTAATTCATCTTCTAACAAAAAAGAATTATTATTTAAATTATCATTTTCTTGTTGTTCTTCTCTTAATTTTTTGTGTTTTAAAATAATTTTATTTCGAAGGGCACAAGGCGAAGGAAGTTCCCATTCGTCTCTAGAAATTGGCGAAGTTAATAATAAATCCCCCAAAACTTCTTGAATATCAATAGCCATTTGACGTTGGGCTGGAACAGAACAATTATCTTCTATTGAAAGAATTAATGGATAACTAGAAAAAAATTTTTGAAAAAAATATTTTCTTTCAAAAAAATTATTTACTCGCTAGTTTGAAAGGCATAATGTTTAATTGTTTGTAAAACATCTTTTAATGCCAATTTTGAAGTCATTGTATATCCATGATAAATAACTATATCAATTATTGTTTCCCCATTTGGACCCCTTCTTTGAGGTCCATCCCAACAATCTAACTCTACACATCTAAAAGAATCTTTTCCAAAAGTATTTAAATTAAAAAATACCTGCATCCAAGTAATAAAGACCGGGCATAAGCATCCAAAGAAGATTCACTTTTAAGTTGATCTCCAGTTAAATAGGTGTTGTGAGAAGAAGATATCCAATAATGAGTTAATGGCTAAAAAAGAAAAGAAATATTTTTTTGTTAAATTAATTTCCTTTACTTTAGTCATGTCATGAACAACTTCTTTATTTATTGGATCGAATAAAGCTTTAAAAAGAAATTTAAATTTATTTTTAATTTTTAAACAAAAGACTAACAATTATCACAAGAAAATAAATAATCAACAAATTCACTCGTACTTAACCAAGGCTCGGCAATATCTCTGTCTGGGTCAACATCTCGAAAATAACGTCTTAAATAATCTGAAGCCAATTCTGGACTTTTACCTAATTCATCCTAATTTTTAAAAAATTTCCAAATTTTTTTTTCAATTTTTCCTCACATTTTGTACATTTTTAAGAAAATCAACAAATTTTCTAAAATTCATTTTTTGTTCATTTTGTGGATGCACAAAGTCAGAAAACATTGACATAAACAAAGAATGAAAATTTAATAGCCAATTATGTGCAAAAACAAAACTTTCAAAGCCCATTTCATTCTAAAAATAATTTTTTTAAATTTAAAAACAAATTTAAAAAAAAACTTCAATAATTTCTTGTAATTGTTTCCCACTAATTTTACATTGTAATCTTTGTTGAACAAAAGGTTTCATGTGTTTTATTGATATACAAGCATTGTCTGTTGGATGGACAAGTAAAGAACAAAACTGAAAAATTATTTTTTTAATTATTCGGTGCGGACACTACTAGAGAGCCGAGCCTTTTTCAAGAGAATTTTTCGTCCATAACTTTTAATATACCGAACAGAAAATTCTAAAATTTTATAAGCTGTTAAAGAACATTTTAATATACATATTACCAAAAATTCAGGATTCATACTCAAAACCTATAGAAATTTAGATCCCGAAACTTAATTAAAAAGCCTCGCTAATTATGTTCGGACCTAATAATATTAAAAATGAAAATTGTGGGAGAGTACTTTTAAATTAGACTTTTAAGAGGAGATAATTGAGAGAGAATCAAAAGAGAATATTTAAATTAGGTATTTATGTTTACTTGTTTTCTTAACCACCGTTCAACAATTAATGCTTGAGAAGCATTTGCTTGTTCTAAACATAATTGTCGAAGTCCTTGGCACCACAAATTACACAATTCTTTATTATCGACTTTAAAATAAATTTAATCAAAAATTCTTTTTTAAATTTTTTCCTTACATAAAATCAGCCAATTATTTGGAATAAAAGTAACACCCCAACTAATACACAAAACTGTATTTTTGTCAAAACGTTGTAAAGCAGAATCTCTCCTCCATTTTTCTGTTATTTGCATTGTCGTCCCTATTTGTGACAAAACCTGGACATCTTTAATTAATCTTAAATCGAGTGTTTGGGTTTTTAAAGAAGAAAATGAAGAAGTTGAGGAACATGAACGAGTTGAAGTTGTTGCTGTTGAATATTTTGGAGGAATTGTTGTACTATAACTTCGACTATTTATTTCAATTTGCTCTTCTAATGTTGAAGAAGAAGAACCTATTTAAATAAATTTGATAATTAAAAGTTAAAATTCGAAAATAAAAATTTAATTAAAATTAAATGAGAAATTCTGGGCATTTTGAGAGTATCTCTCCGCATGCCCGCAACTTTTTTCTTTCCCTTCTCCTTCCTTATTCTCTATAGATTAAAAATGGCCAAGGACTGATAATCAAAAGATTACCTTATTTAGGAGGCCAAATAACTGATATTTTCGTATAAGTCCATTCGAAAAAAATAGTAGGAAAAATTGAGGACATGCGAGAAGATACTCACAAAGCACCAAATTCACATATTTTTTGCCAAAAATTAAGTTTTTTTAATAAAAAAATTTCAGAAAATGAGTTACTTTTTAAAGAATTTTTCCAAAAAAAACAAAAACAATTATTCAATTAAACTTTAAAATCAAAGCCAACAACCCCCTCTAATTAAAAAACCTACAATTAATATCCAGCGAAGAGCAAGAAGAATTTGTATGATTAAAATTATTATTCCATTTAGACAAAACAATTTGTTGTGTTTGTGTATTTAACCATAAACGGAAATAAATTATATCAAATTTCTTTAAAGCAATTAATTTACAAACCTTTTTAAAAGAATAAAAATTAAAAAAAATATTTAATTTAAATAATTACTCTATGTCCTCTTTCCATTAAATTAAAATCATTTTGATTTAAAGGTTGTTGTTGTTGCTGTATTTTATTATTATTTTTGTAACATTTTTCTTCTTTATTTGAAGAATTAATTATTTTTTGATTTTTTAATTCTTTTAATTTTCCTCCCATTTTTGGTGAATTTTGGCTAAAATAAAGAAAACTCTGTAATTATTTTAAATTTAAATTTTTTGATTAAAAAATAATCAATAAATATATTTGGACAATAAAATAAATAAAAGAATTTAAAATTAAGAGAAGAGAGAACATTAAAAAAAAAGATATTTTATTTTATTTATTTTTGTGCTTTCCTCCTTCCCCTAAAAATTACTCATTTATTTTTCTTCAATACTTTAAAAAATATACAAAAATGTTCTCTCTTTTTTTTATCGCAACTAATTTTTAAAAGGGAGAGGAGGAGAAGGTATTTTATTTAAGTTAAATGGTTGATAAAAAGGTGGGAAAATCTTTTTTTTTTCGATTTAATTTTTTGTTTGTTTAATTAAAAAGGGTATTATACTTAAATTTTAAATAGAATTTTTGGTACTTTTCCCCGTTATCCCTACGGACTTTTTGAGGACTTCTTTCCTTCTTTTTGCATGTTTCTATCATTCCCCTCACTCATTTCTTCTCTTTTCTCTATCATTAATTGCTTGAGAAAAATAAATGTTACTGCCTTTTATCTCCGCAAAAAGAAGGAAAAAAGTCCCCAAAATTCTGTAGGGATAACATAAAAATACCGAATTTTTTGTTTAAATTTAGAAATTAAGGCGAAATTTTTCTTCAAAAATTAATCAAAATTATTTAATTTTTAATTATTAAAATTTAATCGCCACAAAAAAGGGTTACACAATTTTGATAAAAAAAATTAACTAATTAACCTACATATTTTCCACTTTTCTGTCCAAAAAAGAGGAAGAAACAGAAAGAATTGTGTTTTGATTTACAAAAATATTTTGTTGTTTTTCTAAAAAGGAAAAATATTTTTTTTAATTTCAAAAAATTTACCAAACAAAAATTCACAATTATTTTCAACATTTCCCCCTTCACTTTTTGTATTATTTAAAGCAAAACGTTGTCTTCTTGTTTGAGCTGACAATTTTCTATTATTTTCCATATTTTGTAAATTATTTGAAGAAACTAAAAATTGTTCTGATTCCCCCTCCTTTTTATTTAAATTTTCTTCATTACAACATTCTTCTTCTGAATTCTACAAAAAAATTAGTTAGCTCATCAGCAAGACTAATATCATTTTTATTAAAAGTTAATTGTTTTTTTGCCCTATTCTAATGCATACTATTTTTTATTTCAAACAACTTTGCAATTTTTATGGTTCCGCAAACTAAAAACATGTTAATTTGGGGTAGTGGGTTCGAACCTCCACGGGAAAATTTTTTTATTAAATTTTATTAAACAAGTGTCTACTTTTTATTTTTGTTTAACCCATATACAATACGCGCAAAATTATACATCCACCCCCTTTATCAAAAAAAATTTTCTGAAAATTTAAATACACGACTTTTAGTTTTTTTAATCCAAAATTAAAGGATTTACCCGACGTTTCAAAGAATTTTCTTGGACATGATTAATGTTATTGTTATTTTGCATTGTTGTGTTTATTTAAAGAAATTAAATTTTTGTAAAAATAATCAACATTAAAATAAAATTATCTTAACAAAAAAACTTTGTAATTAAAAATAAATATTTATTTAAACTAAAACCCAGAAAAACAATAAAATTTTCATTACTAAAAAATAAAATAAATTTTTGTCATTTAATCAGAAAAAGAAATAAAGTAAATAAATATAATAAACTCCAAAAACTATTGCATATTCTCTTTTAATTTCTAAAATTTTATTCGAGCTTAAATTATTTTAAGAGAATATTTTGTCAATTACTTAATGTCCATCAGGGATGTCTCGGGTTACCCGAAACCCGATACCCGAAACCCGAAACCCGGACTTTTTTTCGACCCGAAACCCGAAACCCGACCCGAGGAAAATTTTGAAAACCCGACCCGAAACCCGACTTTTTCCATAGAACTTTTCACCATTAAAAGAGAAAATCTGGCTTCTTGGCCTTCCAAATTTCTTAAAATTTTCGCCTGCGGCGCAGAAAAAGGTAGAAATCTGGCTTCTAGCTTTTCATAATTCTCAAAATTTTCGCCTGCGGCGCTGAAAAAAGAAGAAAACTAGCTTGTATCCTTCCATAATTCTCAAAATTTTCGCCTGCGGCGCTAAAAGTAGAGTATTTAAATAACAATTTTCCATCATGGGACGGCTCAGAAAAATATCGGTTCAGTATCTTGAGCTTAGATCTCCCGTTATCCCTCCAAATCCCCTTATTTCCCCGGTATCAATTCATAACTACATACAGATAGCCCTTTATCCTCCGCTATCTCCCCAACTCACCCGACATCCGTCGGTAATCCCATGGTATCTTTTTAAATTTCCTTGATTTTAAATCTCCTTGATTTGAGTTTTGCTTTATTTGCGTTAAACTCTAATATGGATTTAAAGGGGTAGAAGAATATCTGGGGATTTTCAGAGATTAAGGTGGATTTTGAAAGATATAGGGGGATTTGGAGGATATCCGGAAATCAAGTATTTGTAAGTTATCTATCAAAAATTTGGAGAGGGCATCATAGGTTTAAGGTAGATTATTAGATTCAATATCTTCTCCTAATTCTTTTAATTGGTAAAGTATCTTCCCCACATTATATTTATATCCCTATTAATCCCCAATCCAAAGATATTGCTTTAATCCATCCAGCTCATCCTTAATCCCTGTAATTCAGCAGGTATCGCTCTAATTATTCCCCAAATCACTGATATCCCCCAGCACTTCGAAAAATCTGGATACATGTTCAAATTTTTAATTGACCCGACCCGAGACCCGAAACCCGGACTTTTTTTCGACCCGAAACCCGACCCGAGGAAAATTTTGAAAACCCGACCCGAAATCTGACCCGACTTTTTTCTCGACCCGAGACATCCCTGATGTCCATTATCCTGATAAACAATAATAATTTGGGAATAAAGATAATTTAATTTAAATAAAAAAAGACAAATGTGATATTCTTTAATTTTCAAAAATAATTTTCTTATGCAAAAAACTTTTCAAGTATAAAAGCAAAAAAAACATTTTTGTTTAAATGGAAATTCATTTTATATAAAATAGAAAAATGAAAATCAAAAAAACTGAGCATCTTCATTGATCGAAAAGCAACCGTGATTCATATTTAAGTGAAAACAAAAGAGAAAATAAATAATAAAACCGGTCTTCTAAACCGGATATTTTACAAATAATCTCTTTCATCAGAGCTGGCTGAGTACACATATCTTCAAAATATTTCCTAAAAATATTTGGCCCAAAAGATTAATAAAGTTCTCTTCTCACCCTTTTTTTAGCTCAGCTCTGATATTTATTAAAATCAAAGGTTTGATATATTCCACACTTACTATCTTGAAAAAAAAAATGAATAAATCTCGATATTTTTAAATAAATAAAACTCTTTAAGTTTTGTTTCATTCTAAAAAGGCAATCGAAGGCAAATACGATTCATGCATACCAACTTGCGGAATTTAAAATTATGGAATAGACGAATGAATAATGGGACGGACTGTGGGTGTAAAATAGTTTAAATAACAGCTGTGTGAGAAAATTAGCAACACTCTACATTAGCACTCATTACAATAATTCATCCTACATTAACTCCATTTTTTAGTGTGCACTTTTCTTTTATTTTTTTCTTGTTAATACTTTTTAGCTTTTTGATTTGGTCGAGTTGGTGTATTGGGTAATTATAGAAGTCAATGATACATACCATGGATCCTACCGTCCCGATTCATGAAAATCGAGGACCTGGTTTACAGGTTCGACGTGTAATACGGACCTGACTTCGTCATATTTCCCGAAAATCGTTAATTTATTTTTGTAACCCGATTCCCAACCTTGATACATAGCTATTTTGAAAAGATTGGGTAAACTTTTAACTAAAAAATATGTATGTATATCTCAATCTCAAAAAATATGTATGTATTTCTCAATCTTCATCACTTGTCCATGATTAAAAAAGTGCAAAAATTGTGGTAATTTACTTGAGATATAATTATTATTAGAGATCGAAAAATGGATGGATTTTTATTTAAATTTAAAAATATACGGGCCTTCCATGATTAAGTTAATATAGAAAATACGCAAGTGCCCTGGGAAAAGTCAGAACGATCTCTAGTATATATAGAATTTTAACAAAAATGCATAACAACCATAATAGACACACAATATAGAATCGTATATATTGGCTGTAGTAATGATTGGATTGGGATGAAATTATTTTTGAGAATTTTAAAAACCAATAAAACTAAATCGAAAGTCAAAATTCTAACACCCTGATAAATCACTCGTAATTTTCTCCTTTACTAAACCCCCAGAAAAAATGGAAAAAATAAAATCTATAAATTTGTAAAAATTTGTTTAAAGACAAGTAAAGCAGAAGATTACTCAAACAAAGTGAAGTAAATATTATCCAAATCAAGTGAAAATAAAAAATTGCTTTTGTTAAACAAAAAAATAAATAAATTAAACAAAAAGTCAAAAATCGAAACAAACGATCAACAATGAAAAATCACCATGCACTAGCATTGGCATTACCCCAGCCTCCACCATTGGTCGCATCCGATCCTCCACCATCACCACCAAAATTGTAAGAACTTCCTCCTCCACCGCGACTAAAGCTTTGTCCACCACCTCTTCCACGGCTACCACCATTTCCAAAACTTTGACCACGGCTTCCTCCACCTCCACTATATCCGTCACCCCCATTTCCAAAAGATTGACCACGGTTTCCTCCACCACCACGTCCTCTACTATATCCGCCACCTCCATTCCCAAACGACTGACCACGACCGCCACCTCCACCAACAGGGAAAGAGTTACTTCCCGTAAAATCACCACCACGACGAGAGCGGAATCCATTTTGTTCATAGAAAGTGCCATTAGCAAAATCGGCAAGTCTCGCTGGCACATTCTTAAATATGTAAAGTGAAAAATCAAAATAAAGTATGAAAACCTGATTTGCTTCCTCAAGGACTTTAATCAAATCTCGTGCTTTGGGAGCATTATTTGATGTGAAGAAAGTTATCGCCGTGCCCTTAATTTAAGGAAAAATTAAAACTATTAAAGCTGAATTAATGTTAAAAACTCAAAAAACTAACAGAGCGATCTCTACGTCCCGTTCGTCCAATTCGATGAACATAATCTTCAGAATTGTTCGGATAATCAAAATTGATAACAAATTTCACATCCTAAGAAAAAATATTGACTTCAAGTAGAAAAATTTGACTAAATTAACTAACATCAACATCTAATCCCCGAGCAGCAACATCAGTGGCTATAAGAATTGGAGTACGAGAAGCCTTGAACTCTTAACAAAGAAGTTTATTCAAGCAACCCAATTATATTAATAACCTGCCAAAACCCATTCACGTTCTCGTTGTTCCTTGTCACCATGGATACAAAGTGCTGGCCAGCCTAAAATAACAAAATATTTGTTGATACATTAAATAAGTTGTAAATTAGTAACCGTCCTGTCTCATCCAACGGGTCAAGTCATCAGCCTTTCGCTTAGTCTCAACGAAGATTAAAGTCTTTGTTTTACCCTTAATTCATTCAAAAATTAAAGTACGTTGAATGATTAAAGGAAAACTCACGTCTTCACCCAAAATATTGTCGAGGATCTCAAAAAGTTTGTTATTCTTCTGATGATCTTCAAGGCATTCAACAGTCTGAAGTATATTATGATTTGCTGCCAAGTCAAGAGATCCAACATGCAAATGAACTGGATCCGTATGAAAATCAGCTGCCAATCTACGCACTTCCTTTGGCCAAGTTGCAGAAAACATGAGCGTTTGTCGATCCGGCTAAATAAATAATAATGCTTCATGAAAATAAAACAAACGCGAATCTGATCTGCAATTCGGCGAATTTGAGGCTCAAAGCCCATGTCAAGCATTCGATCAGCTTCATCAAGCACAAAATAACTACATCGTCCCATGTTAGTAGTGCCATTGTCAAGAAAATCCAAAAGTCGCCCTGGAGTAGCGATGCAAATATCAACACCTAAAAAGAAAGTTAAAATAGTTAAGAATGGATAAAAATTAATACA